ATTCAACAGTCCATCACTCGGCTAACAAGTACAGTATGTGTTTTGGCGTTCGCAAATCCGTTTCATGAGATATTCCAAAAATTAAGTTAAGGAGCGGGTATTAAATAAAGAATACATCTGGTGGCTCAAATTGGCTTTATCAAAAATGCAGTATACCAAGGATAAGCAACAAACCAGCTAAAGTACCAAACAAATATGTTTCAAGCCGATACATGTTTTTAATTTCAACCTGTATAACCCAAGCCCCCAGGAAGTGCGCCGGACTCTGTGCCAATATTCGTAGTGTCCAAACGGCGGTACTGCAACTTCCGTATCAGTCCGTGACGTCACCCGGCCCAAAACAACTTTTTCCCATTGACTAACATTGGGAAAGAGACGTCTGTAAACCGTTGTATAATTTTTTTTAACTAAATAAACTACCCAGTATGAACTATTTTATAGCCCTTATTATAATGATTAGGTCCTTAAAGTTGTAAAACGCAATAAAAGCCGAATCTAGATTTATTTTCTCTCCATTCATTCTAGTGAGCCGAGAGTGGGAGCTCGGGGGGCGGGGCTTAAGGGGCGCATGCTCTGTGAGCACACATACAGGTTCTTCTGCTCCGACAGCCAGGCATGCTGGGTAATCTGTGACGTTTCGCTCTCTCAAAAGTCAGGCCATTTTGTCCTCATGCGCCAATGAGCAGCTCTCATAGGAACGAACGAGACCCCGCCTCCGACGCTGTATCCAGTTCTTATTATACATCCATGGTATCACCTCACTTGGGATCACTGGGTCTTGCAAAGATAGTAAAGAATCACACGCTTGCCTTTCACACAAATTGTTTTAGATTTTAAATAAAGGTTTTCTGATTATTTTCGCAGACCATCACAGGAAATTCTGGAAATCAATTACTTACAGAAATGATTTCCACCACCCGGGAACCACCGTCCAATGTAAGCTGCCATCAGCCCTGGATTAATACCGATCTGGAATAAAAAGCAATGCTCATTACAAACCTTAATTTGCACAGTCTCTGGCTTTACTCGCAAAGATTTGAGCAGGGAATCTTACAATGACGTAGTCCAGGTTGTAATCCAGCAGGTCGGGGAGAGTTTTGGTCATGACTTCCTCCTCGGACATTCCCTTGAAGCGGTCGTGTTTCCTCTTCACCTTCTTGAAGCTCTCGTCGATCTTCTCTTGCTTTCCGTCTGCTGAAACCTCGGCTCCCTTCTTGGGCTTCGGGCCCGGTTTGGCTTTCGGTGCCTTTGGATCTTTAGGGGGCTTCGGTGGCTTTGGTGGCTTTGGTGCCTTGGGGACTTTGGGGGGTTTGGGGGCCTTGGGTTCCTTAGGTTGAGCTGCTCTGCCTCTTTTTTTGGGTGGGGCTACAGGGAAAGCTCAAATTAGTAAAAAAAAAAAAGTCTAAAAGGACGAAATATCAAAACCCTCACAGACAGACTTTATCCAGCTTACTGTTCTAAATTACTCCATCTAATTTAGTTTTTGGACTGTCCTGACACATATCAAACTTCCATGCAAACCATAAGACTATTACACATTATTTTAAGAAAGCCAAATACAACAAATCAAGTTTTATTTATATAGCACATTTATAAGCGATTTTTGGTCGAGCCAAAGTGCAGCCAAAGACTGCCAACTATGTGCAATATGTATATATATATATGCCGTTAAAAACTGTGCAATATATTTCATTTCATTTTTATTTGTCCCGCTCATGGTACGCAAAACCAAATGTACAATAATTGCCAAGAAAACATGACTCTACCAAAACACCATTGAGCGAAAAGGAGCAGGGAGAAGAATAAAATCTTATGTGACCTGCCCCTTTCTAAAAAAACAAAAAACAAATAGATGGTCTGCCCTTCATAATAAAAAAATTTCACAGCCAAACATAACAGTATCTTAGGATACTAAGAGAAACACAACAAAAAAAAAAACTTATTTCCCACTTGCTGCTAAATCCTCAGAACTGTTACAGGGTGTGTATTTTTGTAAAATGTTCTTTTCTGCTGTAACAATGTAAATGTCCCCTCTGTGGGACTAATAAAGATTCTGATATATTTTAAAAGTCTGTCACTTACTTACAAAAAGCTTTTCTTCACAAGCCCACTCACTTATAGCATGCAGCATAACAAAGCTTTCATCAGATCTTATCATTTAGGAATACATGTGCAGACCTCTTGTTGTCAACAATGAGTACCACTTCATTAAAACACTAAAAACTCTGGGCCTGACCCTAAAGCAGCAGACCTATACACAATGTTTAATGAGATCATAGTACGTTTTGCGATGTTTTCCGGCTCCTGCTCCTCCGTCATGGGCTCTGGATACGCCATGTGAGCCATGGCTGCCTCTCCGTTCGGCCCCTCGGGGTAATGGGACTGCTGGTTGTGGTCGTAGCCTGAATATTGTGCCTGGTGTGCCTGGAGAGCCTGAAACTGCTGTGCAGACTGAACCCTGTGACAAAGATTACACAGAGGAAAGTATTGATACAAGAAGAGAAATAGCAGAGGGATGAGCTGCATGGTGACTCCTGAGCTGGAACGACACCGTGTGCTTTTTTTGTTAGTTTTCTGGACTTGATTGACTTTAACACAGTGGTAATGCAAAAATATGTTTTACATCGGTTGGTCCTGGGAGTTGGATTCTTACTCCTTACAAAGCTTTATCTGTGTTATTTTAAAACATATACATAACACATTTTATTTCAATTCCTTATTTCCAGATTTATGTTGCATTTTCTCCTACTATATTTGATGTCAGGCAACAACACACCAAAGGATATTCCTTGTCAAATATACTTGACACTGATTCTTCTGCACTTTCTTACAATTATTTAGAGCCAGTTAATACGTTTATTTAATAAGCCTTCAACCTTTATTTCATTTTAAGGAGATATACGTGTCTTAGTCTCCAAAACTACTTCAAAATGACCACAAATTATTTCTTAAAATAGTTTTAACAAATCTCAACATCATGCCTTAAAGGGAGATTTTATTACAGCTATGTTGTATGAGTTTGTATTAGTTTTAAGCGAGATGAAACCAATACATTGGACTGTATTGTATATAATTCAGTAAATCACACCACATGAAAACCCAGTTAGTTCCCAGTCAACAATGGTTAGTTAATCAAAGAGAGCTTCACATCATATTCATAAAAAAAGATAGACCCACAAAAAACAAGTTTCCCTTTGTTGTTCCTGAATGAAACCAAAGTATAAAACCATCAAGCTACAACACACACAGTTATCACAGCACTGTACATCATACTTCACGGTGCACAAACCACCTGGCATATCGTGAGAACAATGGTAAAACAAAACAGAAAAAGGGGCGCACATGCTTTCATTTCATCTTCATCACTCTTTGCCATTCACAGGTTTTTAATCTTTGGCCACATTGTGGAGGAAGACTCACCACTGCTGAAGATACTCCGGGGACACAACAGGGAATCCATTCAGCTTGTCCTCCATCTTTTGGGTGGTTTGACTTAATTAAATAAATCAATATGCAAATTGAGGAAACATGGCTAGGTGATATTAAGCATACTAAGAGTTTGGCAGTGTATGAAACTGAATGCATGTGCCAGGGCTTTGTACACAAAACTGTGGAGTTAGCAACAAAAGATAAACCATAACATAAACCATAAAAACAAAAAAGGATAACTTGATGGGGGTTTACACAATAAAATGAAGTTAAACGGTCTTACGCATGCCCTATTTTACAAGCAACACAACAAATGATGCAACTACATATCCACACCTGCAGCTTCTACTGTAGCTATGCTAACCAACAAGCTAACAGCGAATGAAACCCAGTTATCACATTTAAAAAGGTGTTAGCTAGCATAATTATGTATGAGTCTGTCGCTAACTAAGTCCAATCATACATGATCAAATATATGTTATTGTAAAAAGGAAACGTGTAGCAGTGCCACAAGTGCAGCTAATGTTAGCCAACAGCTAGCTCTGAAGCTAACTTAGCATGGATGAATGGTTTCGCTTCCACTGAGATTCCTCGCCTAAGAAATTGAAAACAATTTAGCAGAATTTATAAACGTTGACGTACCTGTTGTGGGTATGGTTTTATTTACTTTCTTCTGTACATGTAAGTGTTATTTTTCCATAAACGCCGCTCTTCTATTCACAACAGAGGCAACAAAGACATGACAGCCCTGCTGGTCAACTTTGACACCGGAAGAGCTCAAGTATGAGCCGTAGGTGTGCACCGTGCACGAAGGAACATATGTTTTACTTTCAACAAGTACAATTACTACTATCAGTATATTTTAATACCATTACATATTGTAAAATCTCATATTATGAAGATGTTTGGATATGGTGTTTAAACTGAAAACAGCACAATAAAATCAAAAACCAACCAACCGGTACACCCCTGTTTTAGCATTGGTATGAGCCGCAGGACTTTTAAACTCTCCGGTACTTGTTTTCTATTGGCTGAGAGTCTTTGCTGTTTAAAGAGCCAAGTGTTTTAAAATCTCTCTTAATCGTATAAATAGAGTAACTGAAATATAATATATATAGAGACAGAGAAAGCACAGAATAGTACAATGATATAAAAAATAAGAACTTAACGGAACTGGTTGGCAATGAAATCTCTTTTTTTAAGATATTGTACCATATGGCACATTTCTTTGTTTACAATTGGCCTTTTTGGATGTGAAATTGACCAAATAACAATATGTTGACAGTCTGATGAACTTTCTGTTTTCATAGTATATTATATTATAGTATGGTATATTATAGTATATCATTTGATCGGTTTAAATGCATGCTTGTCTGCAGCGTTGCACACAACAGCAGCGTATTTTAATAAGCACGAAAATCCTCAAAATAACTAATTTCATGGTGTTTTGAAAATATGACTTTCTACTCAAGAATGGTCATCAACGATGCTTTCTAAAGGCTGTTGTGTGTTTTCTCACATTTCAGGTCATCACATTAATGCTTTGAACAATGAGACAATAAACAGACTATCTTTAGAAGAGATTTAATAACTCTGTAATTACAGGGTAGAAATTCCAGAGTACAATTACCTATTTATACAACTGATAAATCATAAAATGTCATTCTTTTAAAAATACAAAAATAAGTCACTGGACACACGTACCATACAAAATGCAATAAATAGTGATAAAAAATAACACCAAACACATGCACAGTCTGTTGGAGAGTTAGAAAATGTAACCGTGGTGGGCACTTTCTCCCTTGTGCGTTACATTGCGAGGCTTCAGGAAACTGTATGACTCTCCTTTTTCTCCGTGTGTCATCAGAGGGTTTCTCACTCTCACTGATGCATCATGCTACTAGTACAGCTGCTATCTGGTTTCTGGTGAGTGAGCCTCTTCAGCTGCAGTGCTCCCGTGTCATGTTGTCCGCAGACCGGCCTACAATGTCCTTTTTCTGCAAGATACCACAATACAAACCAAGGAGATGCACTGTGCTGCTTGCAGAAGGAATGGTTTGTCATTACCCAATACAATGGTAATACTTAAGCAATTTACTTAATCTCTAGAAACCACGCAAAACATAATTGATGGTGGCAATGTGTTACGTATTTTTTGCACATTACTGCAAATTGTGTAAAGGAACACTTTGGTATTTTTTCAACCTGGACCCTAATTGACCCATGTTTTTGTCACAACTCGAGACTATGTTTCTTTGAATTGGTTCAGTATTGAGCAAGAATGCTGGCTTGTCCACTAGCTGCTTGTTTAGGCCACGGACAAGCTCAGTTTTTGTATTAAAAGTGTCAACAACATAATAGAAAGGATCGGTTTACCTTTCGGCTGATTTCACCTCTTATTTTATTTTATCATAGGACTTTCTGCCTGAAAACAGTTGTTGTCAGAGATTGTTTAATTGGAGTACAGTCAGTGTAGCTTAGAGTTTTCTTAAGGACCGTCAATGTTGTGGCTGGTTATTTAGATGATTTTGTCAAGATGGATGCAACACAAGACTTCTGAAAGAGAATTCTCCCGGGGTTCACAGCCAGGATCCAGCAAAGAAAACATTGTATTCGTCTATTTCTGTGACACTTAGAATAACCACATGAGCCTGTAATTGATGAAAAACAAGCATGTGTTTTAGTTGACGCAAACTGAAGGTGTGTAATGGCCCAATAGGATTACATAGCAGCCTGTCTAGTGGGTCAATACTGGACCAATTAAAAAAATGGGTGTCACTTAGACACAAAAACATGGGGCAATAAGGTACAAGTGGACAAATATCCCGTAGGTTTCCCAGTGGATCTTTCGTGTAAACAAACAAAAACTATCTTTCGGTGTGAACAGAAATGTACCGTGTGCCTAAAATGTTGCCGGACTTCAAATCTATTTTTTCTCCGGGATGTTTGAGGTCATTGGTTCATGTTACTGTTCTATAAAAAAATCAACAGACCTTTAAATTGCTTCAGAAAGGTGATCAGTCACAGTGGTTTGGAGTCATTATTTACAGATGCAGTTGATGCACCTGTAACTAACCCTAACTCTGTTTAGTTCCAACTCGATGAACTGTAGTGAGAACTCACTACACTACCTGTGTGCTACAGCAGACAGGCTGTTCTCCTCCTCTCTTCGCGCTCCTTTACTTGGAGGAGTTGCTGCTTTGCTTCTCGTCGCCGTCGTTGCTGCTTTGCTTCTCGTCGCCGGGTAGCGCATTAGAGCTTTCATACTCCGGATCCACCTGCTCCTCTTTGATTGATATCCTCTTTGCATCCTCTGCAGAACACAACAACCAAGAGTTAGTTCGTCGCATAAATATGTAAACAAACGCATAAATAGGTCTTTAAAAATTACTGCTTTTGTTTCAATGTGGAGCTTATTTTGCCATATTTTATTTTCTAGCTATATTTATATAATATAAACGTGTCGTTTATATAAGACGTAAACAAGTGTCAAATAAATGTAGTGAAAATAATAATATTTCCCTCTGAGATGCAGCGGTGTATGAGTAGTAGAACACTGAAACACTCATTGTGTAGTAAATGATACTTAAAGGTGGGGGAGGTCATTTTGGAGGAACCAGCTCGAGTGCGCTAGAATTTGAAAATACACAGCCGGAAAAAATCAGCCACTTCCTCACAGAGCCCCTCCTCCAACACACACGAACGCGCACATGACCAATGAGGGCACGAGATAAGTTTGTGCACAGATGGAAGGCTGACAGGCAGGTAGGCCATCCAGTTACTTTAGCCGGGCCGGCTCAAATGATTGGTCGTGCTTTTTACAGCGCCACGGCTTCCACAGATGACAAGATATTCATTGCTATCGGGATGTTAAGAGCATTCCATGGAATAACAAAGTGTTTCTGAAATAAATGACATACCCCACCTTTAATTAATCAGAATACTGTCACGGGGCAAATACGTTTTTTTTTTACCTTTGCTCCGTTTAAGAAAAATAGAAGAAAAAAAAAAACAACATTTTTTTAAATAAAAGAAAATGAATAACATAAAAAAGGTTAGAATTAAGTCAATTTCAAATATGAGTAAAATTGTGCACATTGAACTATAATAATACCAACTAATATCAATACATTTTGACTTATTTTGTCTCTAATTCTGTATTATTGCATGCCTTTCATTCCTGCTATGCCACTTTTTGCTGTAACATTTCCCCGCTGTGGGATTAATACAGTACTTCTGATTGTGTTTACCTTTGGCTAGCTGCAGATCGAACAGGTACTCCGTCTCCTCCACCTCGCGCTTCGGGATCAGACCCTTCATCTCGTCCCGCAGCTCCTTCAGCTTGATGTAGAAATGAACCTTATCCTGCGCACGGGGGAACTGTGCACAGCGAGGGCTGGACGAGGGCATCAGGTAGCACACCTGGGGGAAGGAAACATATGCTGTGAGGATTGCTGTTTGTGTTGTTAGTTATATATATCTTTTTTGTAATATATTTTCTATTGACATTTGGCAGCAAACAATTACACAGTGTTTTTTCAAGACATAGTAATTGTACATCTTAAGTCTGTCCGAAATGCTTCTTAGTTTAAGATAAAATAAAAACAGTAAAAAGTACGAACAATACGAACATTAGGGAGTGATCAGGACTTCACAGTAAAATCATATGTTTGTCAAAATAAAATCTGACCTATGAGGTTTTTACGAAATCAGTCCACTGTGATTGACAGATGATGTTATCCTCTCCATTTTGTAAATGTCCATTGTAATATCCATCCATGCGTTTAAAGTTGGGCTTTCTGGAGATAACCACTTCCTTGTAAGAGCTTTTTTACTTTCCACCAGCAACAGATTTAATCAATATTTGTCTTTTTTAGTCCATTCTCGAGGTATGAGTCCAAAAAACAAAGTCTTACTCTCCATGGGCACATGACATTTGAAAATATATTGTAAGGCATTGTTAGTTATATTTTAATCCAGATTCTGTTTCAACTTACTGTTTCAGTTTCTGGAATTTTGTAAGGCTGTAGACCGAAGTCGAGTTTCTTTGCCTTCACACCAAACGTTTCTTTGCAGAAGATTTCATAAATACCTGCCAAAATGAATACAAGTCAAAACACTGTTGTCTTTATTATGAGCCATCTAAACACTGAGTCTCAAATGTTTTAATGAGTGTACCTTTTCCATTGAAAGCAGCTATTAATGGTCTGTATTTCTGCAGCTTGTCGAGTAACTGTCGACCTCCTTCACGAATCTCCTTACTGAAACAAGAAAACATAAAAATATAGGTTTTGTTTCTTTAAAAGGGACACAGGATTAGTTTGCAAGGCTTTTTCCACATTCCTTATTGGAGACGAACTTAGACTTAAAGGGGACCTATCATGCAAAATGCACTTTTTGATGTCTTTTATACATAAATATGTGTCCCCTGTGTGTGTGTGTCAGAGAACTCACGCAGCGTCAGAAAACAAAACCCTCTCTCTTTTCCTCCGTACCCAAATCTCTAAAAACGGGGCTACAACGGAGCTGATCCAGATATATCTGAGACCCATAATATATGCCTAAAATAGCATAATAGGAGACCTTTAAGTCTAGTAAAAAAGCTATAAGTACTTATTGTATTTTCTGAAAGTGAAACTGTATTTCCATTGAGTTTAATTATTTGTATTGACCTGGAGAGGTCCTTGCTGCCGGGTGTGGTCCTCTCCACCATGTTGGTGAAGCCGATGCTGTATGTCTCCGGCAGGCTCTGGTCATGCATGAAGTTGAGCTGCTCGTCAGTCAGACCAGAGAGAAACAGACATTTCCCTGGAGAGGAAAGAAGGAGATTTGACAATGTCATAAGGAAAATGGCTTTCCAGACACACATTTTGCACATGACTTTAGAAAAAGTGTGATAAAAATTATTCTTGGGCAATCAGGAATCAGTGATCATCCCTGATGAAAATGTAAAAAAAATGTACCTGACATGCTTTATTGAAAGTTATATTAACTGTTAAATGTTGATATTCTAATTAAATTACCCAATTAAACAATTTGAACAGCTCTACACAAAACTAAAAGAACACAATGATATCAAATGTAATTGCAATGAACCATAATGCTGTGTATATCTGTATGTTTGGGGATCTGTACTGAACAAACAAACAGGGCAGAAGCTAATCAGTAAATAATTGAAGGAAATTGAATGTCAACATACAGAAATGGTTTCCTGGGTTTGGGTAATGGCGTCCTTTGTACGCCGACAGCAGTCCCGGGTTAATTCCAATCTGAGGAGAAACATGAAGGTGTTACCATGGCAACAGACAGGGAAAATGTACCATTGTTTTGTGTCTGAAACCTTTTTTCTACATCTGGCACCACTTAATCACTCACTCAAACAAACAAATACATATTGCTATTGGGAATGATCTCCCTATCTCCAGTTAACAACTCACTATCAAGATGTCCAGGTTGTAGGTGATGACGTCCGGCAGGGTTTTGGTCATCACCTCCTCCACTGACATGCCGTTGAAGCGGTTCAGAGCCCTTTTGGCTTTTTTCGCTGCCTCGATCTCGTTCTCCTCCTCGGTCGTCTTTCCATCTTCTGTCTGCTGCTTCGGAGGCCGGCCGCGCTTCTTCTTCACCGGCGTCGCCACTGAAACAGAGTGTGACATTTATTAAGCAGCAGCGGCTACAGTTAATGAGTCTACTGAAACGTTAGTTCATAATCATGTTTATTGTCTCTTTGTAACTCTGGCACAACAATTTCCTTCGGGATAAATAAAGTCCTATCTTATCTTATCTAATCTGTTTAATTGTGTTGCACTGTTGGAGGAGCCTGTGACCTAAGATTGTCACTGTCATAACTACACTGTAGCTACGTACACATGACAATAGAATCTTGAATCCATCTCATAATCGTCTTGTGTCTTTTTTGTACTTTTTAGGCGATAGTAGAGCAAAATTAGCATTACCAAAATGTGGCTGTTGAAATTCAGATATGAGTCCAAGACTATACCAACATGTCTGGAATGGTCTGCATTTTTATCGTTGCCGTTTGAAGCTGAGCGTTCATTTGAATCACTTGTACTTTCAGTTTGCCTTTGTTTGACACAATCACTTAAAGGTCCCCTATGATACTGTTTTTCATCAATATATTACAGGTCTCAGATATATACAAACATGTCTCTGAAGTGTTTGGCTCCAAACACCAAACAGATCATTGCAGCATTACCCATAATCCCCTCTGTTTCAGCCCTGTTTCCAAAGTGCTGATTCTCTGTCTGTTACTTTAGATGAAAATAAGGAGCCCCTCCCCACGCCCCTCTGAGAGAGATTTGGTTACAAAGAACACAATGGTGCTCTAGGAGGAGATTCAGGTGATAAGAGGGGGGGGGGGGTTACCTTGGTTGCTGATTGGCTAATGGTTACACAAGCCAACACATCGTTATGACATCATAATGTGGCCAAAATCTGATCAGCTCATTTTCAGACAGGTTTTTATAGAAATGGATCAAAAAGAGAGAGAGTCTTTTTTCCTGAAACTTTCAGGGTCTCTTTCCACAGAGGGGACACATGTTGATGAAGAAGAGACATGAAGAAGAGGGGACACATGTTGATGTAGAAGAGACATGAAGAAGAGGGGACACATGTTGATGAAGAAGAGACACGAAAAAGAGGGGACACATGTTGATGTAGAAGAGACATGAAGAAGAGGGGACACATGTTGATGTAGAAGAGACATGAAGAAGAGGGGACACATGTTGATGTAGAAGAGACATGAAGAAGAGGGGACACATGTTGATGTAGAAGAGACATGAAGAGGGGACACATGTTGATGTAGAAGAGACATGAAGAAGAGGGGACACATGTTGATGTAGAAGAGACATGAAGAAGAGGGGACACATGTTGATGTAGAAGAGACATGAAGAAGAGGGGACACATGTTGATGTAGAAGAGACATGGAGAAGAGGGGACACATGTTGATGTAGAAGAGACATGAAGAAGAGGGGACACATGTTGATGAAGAAGAGACATGAAGAAGAGGGGACACATGTTGATGTAGAAGAGACATGAAGAAGAGGGGACACATGTTGATGTAGAAGAGACATGAAGAAGAGGGGACACATGTTGATGTAGAAGAGACATGAAGAAGAGGGGACACATGTTGATGTAGAAGAGACATGAAGAAGAGGGGACACATGGTGATGTAGAAGAGACATGAAGAAGAGGGGACACATGTTGATGTAGAAGAGACATGAAGAAGAGGGGACACATGTTGATGTAGAAGAGACATGAAGAAGAGGAGACACATGTTGATGAAGAAGAGACATTAAGAAGAGGGGACACATGTTGATGTAGAAGAGACATGGAGAAGAGGGGACACATGTTGATGTAGAAGAGACATGAAGAAGAGGGGACACATGTTGATGTAGAAGAGACATGAAGAAGAGGGGACACATGTTGATGTAGAAGAGACGTGAAGAAGAGGGGACACATGTTGATGTAGAAGAGACATGGAGAAGAGGGGACACATGTTGATGTAGAAGAGACATGAAGAAGAGGGGACACATGTTGATGTAGAAGAGACATGAAGAAGAGGGGACACATGTTGATGTAGAAGAGACATGAAGAAGAGGGGACACATGTTGATGTAGAAGAGACATGAAGAAGAGGATTTTGCATAATAGGTGACCTTTAAATGTGTGTGTGTTGGAGAATACCTTTGAAACCCCTCCCTACCTTGAGGTGGAGCAGCAGGCTGAGGTTGGAGCTGCACGCTGGGCTCCTGCTGCTGCTGCTGCTGGGCTGTGTGTTGGTGCTGAGGGGGGTGCATGTGTCCAGGGTGCTGCTGCTGCTCCCTGAGGTTGGGCTGGTAGGTCAGCTCGTGGTACTGATTCTGGGCCGGGGGGTTGTAGTTCTGGTAGAAAGGTTCCTGGTGAACAGGAGGATCCCGGTGGACGGACAGCTCCGCCATGACGGGCTCATCTCTGGGACCCTCTGTGTAGAAGCCCATGTTGTTATAGGGCATCACATACTGAGCCTCAGGGTGCTGCTGACTGGACTGGTACCTGGAAGAGAGAGGAGGCGTGAGAGAGGAAGAAGAAGGACGGTTAAAGAAAGAAGGAGGTGAGAAAAATAAGACCGGACACAGCAAGAAGGGACAGAGTGTTACTGGTGTTAGATGGCATGCGGGAAGGAAAAGTAGGTGAGACAAACTTACAAGACACAATACTTGCAAACAATCATGCTCGGATAACCACTTGTTTGTATTCTCTGCATTTCATTCAGCGTAGAGTGTGTTAATCAAGCTCTAAATGTAATGATTTATGTGGTTTATTGGTTGATTTTGAGAAGGCAAGACACAAGATAAAAACTCATTGTCAAGATGATCCTGGCCTATTATCGAAACACGCGATCTTTCCCAATGATCTTGAAAATATACTTTGAACTCTTAATATGGCATATCAAATCACCTGACCTTACATTATCCGAATAAACAAAATATCATGCATTACCTATACTTGTATCACTTTTAGTCAACATTCTTTTGAGTAAATGAAAACTAACAATCTTAAAAAACGGTAGTCATAAATCATGAAAAGGCCTTTTCTTTCTTAAATTATCATTTCTGTATTTTTTTTTAATCAAGATCTTTGTCTCACTTCTCTAGCGTGATAGCGAGCTAGAATGCTATTTCAACTCATCTGGGAATATTTTTACAATTATGCCGATAATGAAAACTCGTAATTTTGTCGCCTTCAAATTATATATCGTTCCATCTCCTAAATTTGACCATATAAACTTAGATAACCCTCTCTCATTGCACCAACAAACAGGAACACCACCTTTTGGCTGACCAGAATGGGATGAAGATACACAAACAATTGCAACACTTCAAAAACATTGATACTGTGATTGAACTCAACTACGGGTCAAACGTGTAGAGAGTTTATTCAGTTCTAATGCTTGCAAATAGGCCGCAGAGTGATACAAGCCATTGCAGGAGTATTTATGAAGCCGGTGGCGAGTGATAGTGTAATTACAGTCTTTACTACCAGGGTTGGAAGACATCTAAAGAGAAGTTATACTGTCAAAGATTACATTTTTGGTCTTCAAATGACGGCAATTATTAAAATTATATAAAAAAATTCATGATAGCAATTTAGATAATGTTTTTGAGAAAAGAAAAAAACATCTTTTAGTTTCTTTTTATTTGTTTCAAGGATTCATCTTGAAGTCATTTATCATTATTCAGATTATATAAAACAATTGTATCCAGTGAATTGCACTACAACAATTGCCATGTATTTTGTTTTCATTAACTGACTAAATGTCAAGGTAATCTGACCCAAACCTGATATGATACATACCTGAATTATTACTCAGGGTTATATTGATTGAGTGTATTAGTCACGTTTTTTTTAACACATTGTATTACACAGTTGTTAATATGTTTAATAATTCAACTGTCACTTCCTACAAGCCAACATATAGTACAAAGGTATGCATGATGTCGTGTGGTTCAAAATGCAGTTTATTTGTCTTCATCTCATGCATGAAAAGGAAGAAACATGTCATTATTATCCTTAATAATGACACTGTCACTTGCTACAAGCCCACATATAAAGTATACAGGTATGCATGATCACCATGCAGTGTATTTATCTGAATCTCATGCATGCAAATGAGGAAACATGAGAAGTTTTCCATGACCTGCTGCCACCTCCACAACAACTCACCACTGCTGAAAATAATCCGTAGGAACCGTCAGTGATGTATACTGGTTTTCTTCCATCTTAACAGTTGACTTATTTCAACAAATGTACATTCATTCTGCTGCAAGGGCATCAATACACACTGGACATGTGGATTGTTTGAAGAGTATTGTTGTTATTGTAGCACATTCGGTTCATTTCTGCACAAAGGAGACGGATGGACGGCTAACACAGGAAGAAGGAATCTGTGGCTAACAGGGAAGCTAACAACATTACGGAGTCCTACAGCTGCGGAAAAACAGGAACTAGCCTCTATGTTAATGAAAAATAAACGTTAAGGAGGAATCTAACATACCTGTTATACATTGTGTTCTTTAGTTTTCAAATAGGGAGACGGGGGGGCTGGGAATCCTCCCAAAACAAAGACCATTTAAACTTCAACATTTCCTGTAGCCCAGAGGGAGGCGCGCTCAGCGCCATCTGTCGGCCAGGAGGGGAACTGCAGGGAGAAATATAAATAAATAAAAAACATTATTTACGTCTATGTTATTACCAAATGTTTGAATTTAAATATAGATGTATTAACTTTACATTCACTCAATCATTTTAATTATGTACAATTTTGGGGTACCTTAGTTTTGCTTAAATCCATGTTATGCTACTCCATTTTAGAAGCTAGTATTGTACTTTTTATTCATCTACATTACTTATTTGCAGATTCAGATTATCATTAAGAATACTCGCTGTAATGATAACAATAATCTTCAATTAATAATCTATTTCGCAGTAATTTTTTAAACAAAAATGGGAGAAATGCGGTTTATAACCTATTGAATATGTAGATGTCATGCCTCCGTATTAAATATAATATGAACATCCTTAATTTTGGGGGTTTAAACTGACAACATATAGAAAAGAACATTTATGTATCAATAATTATAATCTAGTCATATCATATATTTTGTATTATCCGAAAAAAGGGTCACTTTGCAAAATATGTACTTGTACATTTTGATGTTTACCCTTCCAAAAGAAAAACTCTCCTTTTTGTTTTGGCACCAGCAATTCATGTAAGGGTTAAATGCAATACAAAAATCATCATCAATCAATTTGAAATGTGTTATCCAATGGTTCTTAGAGGTGGAAGCAGTTAATTGATCACATACTCACACGATCATACACATATCATTAAGGACAGAGAGCAGCAGCAGAAAGTATTTAATAATAATAATAATTCCTTACATTTATTATAGCGCTTTATCAATGACTCAAAGCGCTTTACATATACACACATTACACATATATGATACATGCAATGGTCAGATACTGTGGACAATACCCACAGGAGCAAGTTCAGGTGAAGTGTCTTGCCCAAGGATTTAGTGCAGATAAAAACAACAATGTGTCACAGGCGGCACATTGTACAAGGCCAACAATGAAGGCATGTAGTGTGGAGTAAGGTATATATAAAAGGGTAAATACCTCCTTTAAAGTGCACAAAGCAAGCGGTGAGACAGGTATGGTTTCTCCTGACCTGCCTTCAACAGCCTCTCTCCTATCTAAGCATTTCATATATGTGTTAGATCTTTAGTGTACCAGCTTAAAAACATTTATAAGATACATTCATTCTATAATCCATTTGCAAAGGCCTTCAGACCGAGTCAGAGAACAGATCTCTAGACCAATCACAGGCCTCGTTGTCATCAAGGGAGTCACAGTTAGATCGATCCAGACTCCCCTCATCAGTCTCACAACTTCTCTGTGATGTCAGGTTTTGATCCAACAGAGTCCTTTTATAGTTCACCTTTTCTCCCTGCCGCCTTTTGCTCGAATCTCCCAAACCACTGCTGCTGTTCTCAGTCTGCAGTCTCCTCCTGAGCTTCACACTCAGCTGGGTTTCAGCAGCGGGACTCGGAGGAACAATCACTTCATTGTCCGACACATCACAATTACTATGATGCTGCTGCTGAGCCAGTAGATGTTCTTTATGCTTTTCTGGTTTCCAAAACCTCCTTTTTGGGGTGAATCTGCTGCTCTGTCTGCTGGATGTCGTACTGCACTCCACGTTTTCTTTCGTGGACGTTCTGTCACACTGCAACAGCTGCTTAGACCTGTTTGAGTTACACAGAGGAGAGGTGGTACTGGCTCTCTTGTTACTGCCCTTATCAGACTGATTTGGGTGAGCAGCAGAAGAGTCTCGACTGTCAGGACTGAATTCAGCGAATGACCCGGTCACAGCTGCTTTTACGATGGGGGTGGACTGACAGGGAGGGATGAAGTCAAACTCTATGGTGCCTGGAATGAAACTGTCTCTGTTATTGCACTTTTTAGTTTCAAGTGTATCTTTGTCTGGTGTTAAATGCGTATCCTTGTCTGGTGTTAAATGCGTATCCTTGTCACTGCTTAGGTGCTGTTGGTTTGGTTTGGATAGCAGTGGGCACGCCCTTGAAGTAGTACTTTTAGTTTCTGCACGTGTGTCGATCTGGTTTGTGTTCATATTGCTTATAAGAGAACTGCCGAACAGGTCTGCCGAACAATTGTAGGAGTCTTCTTCAAGCTGCTCTTCTTCATTTTCAAAAGATAGAAGACTAGCTTTGTCGTCTTTCAGATAACACTCAGGGGAACAAATGTTTCTGACTTGAATCTCGTTTGAATATCCAACAGGACTCTTATGTACCTGGTCAGATAAATCACCTCCACTCGGCGCAGGTGTATTTGTAATATCCAGAACCGCCTGTGAGTTCCTTTGACGAGCAGAAGGCGACTTATGTGATACGTTCTCGATCGGTGAACGGACTTCCAGGTTGTTTCTTTCTGTTTCTTTCTGATTCTGTACGTTTAAATGTGGCTCTGCTTCACTAACAACGTCCCAATCTTTGTGTTCCTTGTTTAAAAACTCCATAAGACTCTCAGAGAAAGGAAAATCCTCCCAGGCCAAGGAGCTGGACAGAAAGGATTTGGTGAGATCTCCGGTAGAAATCTCCTTAGTCTTGGATCTGTTCAGGCCAGGTGGGGGAGGACTGAACCAAGTGTCTCTGACGGGGGTGTTTCCAACAGCTTTCTCAATGGATGAACTGGGGGATTCTGCAAATGATGGACTTTTGGAAGGAGTGCGCTCGCGACCTCTCTCCTCCTGGTTCCCCCAGCTGCCTCTCGGAGCAGGATGTGGTGTTGTGTTTTTGAATGTGTGTCGGCTGTTCTCCTCTCTGCCCTCCTGAGTGCTGCAGCTCTCCTCCTGCTCTGCTGATGAGGTAATTAGTCCTAGGGATTGTTGCCATGGAGGGGTTGGAGAAAGGGTGCTGTCTTGGTTCTGTGAACTAGGATGAAAACAATAGCAACTGTCATGAAATGTCTTAAAGGTGAACAATGTATTCAGTCCCACCACTTGACACTGAGAAATCTCTACTTTTGAATAAATAAATAACAGGATTTATAGACCAAGCCCCCAAGAAGTGCGCCGGAGTCTGATGAAAACATTCGTAGTGTCCAAACGGCGGTATTACAACTTCCGTATCAGTCCGTGACGTCACCCGGCCCAGAAAGACTTTTCCCCATTGACTAACATCGAGAAAGAGACGTCTGTAAATCAGCGGATATTATTTTTTAAACTAAATAAACTACCCAGTATGAACTATTTTATAGCCCTTATTATAATCATTCGGTCCTTAAAGTTGTAAAATGCACTAAAACCCGAATCTAGATTTATTTTCTGTCTCCATTCATTCTAGTGAGCCGAGAGTGGGAGCTCAGGGGGCGGGGCTGAAGGGGCGCATGCTCTGTGAGCGCACATACGGGTTCTTCTGCTCCGACAGCCAGGCATGCCATTTTGTCTTCATGCGCCAATGAGCAGCTCTCATAGGAACGAACGAGACCCCGCCTCCCACGCTGTATCCAGTTCTTATTATACATCCATGGTATAGACAGATAAAGATTGTTCCAAATAATAAACATGGTGTACGTACAGGCACATTGACCCCTCCATGATGAGACAGCCCTGCCAATTCCTGTTTTAACATATTTGTTTAATATAACTCTTACAAAACATGTTGGATTATCCATTTCAGATAAATCCATCTCACTTATTTCTAATTATTTGGTATTAGTGTCTGGTCGCTAGAGTCAGAAACTGACAATTATCAGATAGATACTTTAGTTATCAGTGGCTTCTTAATGTCCTTACCTTTGAGATGACTGGGATAAAAGACCTGAGACATTTAGTGTTGTGTTATTGAAGCTGCTTGGAAAATGTTCAGGGACCAGCAGCAGGGTCTGGGGTCCGGGGGCTTTGCTGGGATCAGAGGATCCCCGCTCATATTCTGCAGCTCTCTGAAGAAGGGTCCGATAATAACTGACCACAGAGTAGCCTGAGAGGCCCGCAGCGTTGGGGAGAATCATCTGACTGGCAATAAAGTGAGCGTTACTGCTGGAGCCATTCGCAGCAGGCTCTCCCAACCAGGGTCCACTTCCTGATTCCTGAAGGACACAAGAACAGGAACCGCTGAGATCAAGAAGACTACATACATGACATTCAATAAAACACACAATTTGGACATGTTGTTCAAAATCCTAATTGCAATTGTACCTTAATACCAAAGATGAAATGCCTCCCAATGAAGCAGTCCTTCACAGCCTTCTCCAGAAACGTGGATCTGTTTGATGCTCCATCCAAACTCTGCACCAACCTACAACAATACATTACATATCATGTATCATACAGAAACTAAAGAAAGCCACACTGCTTTTCACTGAACCGGAAAAGAGTTCAGTGAAAAGTAACTTAACCCTGGTCACATGAATCCTCTGGAACACAGGGTTCCCAACGCTGTTTTAGAGCCGTTATAAAACAATGTAATGTAATGTTACATCACACCTGACAGAAAAACGTTCACTAATGTCGTACCAACTAAGATTAGTGCAAAAAAGAATGCTTATAAGATAGTATCTGACGAGTAATACTTAAAACAAAGTGTGTTTTTGTGCTATATATAATACAGTCATGTATAAAGTAAGTACATAAATTGGCAGGCGAAACTGAAAGACTACAAACAAGTGTCAAATTCAAACCTACAAGATGTTGATACTCAGAGCGGCCGGCGAAGTCCCTCTCTTTCCGGGGAGCTCCATGGGACCTTATTTCGGAAAGATTATGTATTGAAGTCAATGGAGAAAGAAAAGTTATCTTTCGATTCCGTTTGAATTGTTCCACGAATTACACATATGATGTTTGTCAATTTAAAAGATAATTTTGCAAGTCAAAAATGTGTCGTAAAACTGTGAAGTAACACTTTTTTTGGTGTGAAATCGCTCAATGAACTACATCTCCCATCTCGCACCACAGAATGAGGCGAAAAGTATGAAAAGAGGTTAAAATCACTCCAAGTCTGGGCACGTTGAGAGCTGTGCATACACACAAGGGGAGTGAGTCGGTTCCGTAAGAGCCAGCATGCGGGACCAGGATTCTGGGATTTGTAGTCTTTCTAGTTGCGGATTTTCCATAGTCTTATATTTCAACAGTTTTACGACAAACTGACTTTTTTGACATGGAAATTATTTTTTAAATTGACAAACATCATATGTGTAATTCGTGGCACAATTCAAACGGGGTCAAAAGATAATCTTTCTCTCTCCATTGACTTCAATACATAATTTTTCCGAAATAAGGTCCCATGGGTCGGAAGTAGATGGGCGTGACTTCGCCTGAGTGCCACAGTGACGCGAAGTAAACTCCTTCCGGTTCCTTCGACAAAAAGCAATGCAATTTCTCCATAGGATTTTGGAAAATAGCTCGAAATAAGGTCTGTGGTTGAGACACATTTAAGAGACGGGTAACGTTTTGTTCAGCCGGATAATATCCACATGTTTACATGAAAATTATAAAAGTAGGGTAAACATGTGGATATTATCCGGCTGAACAAAACGTGATCTGTCTCTTCAATGTGTGTCAACCACAGACCTTATTTCGAGCTATTTTCCAAAATCCTATGGAGAAATTGCATTGCTTTTTGTCGAAGGAACCGGAAGTGGTAAAATGCTAACTTACTTCCGGGTTTTAGGACGCGTCACTGTGGCAACCTATTCATTGGGAATATAACCGCCACACTTAGTATGTATACAACACTGATGGAAGTTTATATAGCTGAAGTGTGGAGTTGCTTGACAGATATGTTGTCCGTTCTCACCTCTGTAAACCACTCGCATGAATACCAAAGAATTGGTTCAAGCAGCCTCCAAATACTGTTATTCCAAATATGCAGGTGTCCCGGGCGACTCTCAGAGAGAGACGGTATCTGTACTCCACCTGCTCCCTCAGACAGCTGCAACCACACTTAGAGCATCTGCATCTGAGCGGACAGAAGAGGAGACACTCAATGTGAGAGAGATTTATAGATGGGTAATAACAAGTTAACTGAGCATTGTAGAAATACATGAATGTGTTTTGCCTTTGAGCTAACTTAGATACAGTAAATGTCAGCAAAGTAACTAAAGATATTAAATAAATGTAGTGAAGTAAAAGTACACTATTTACCTTTGAATTGTAGTGGGGTAGAAGTACAAAGTGGCAAGAAATGTAATTAAATGAATCAAGTAAAGTACACATCTCTCAAAAAGCACATTACTTGAGTGCATGTACTTAGTTACCACTGATTTTACTTAAGTTTGACTTCCACTACTTCTTCCACTTCTGCATTTCACCTCTGCTATTTAAGTGATCTCGGTCTAGGGTTGTTAGTCGCAGTAATGTTTAAAAATACAATCAATTGGACCCAGCATGTCTCCTTCACAGAGGAAATAAGTGTTGTTTTGTGTTTGTTTGTGATTTTACCTCGTCGTGTCCTCCTGTTGAACATCAATCCTCGAGAAGCAGCCTTTACAGCTCGGATAAAACACACATGCATCTGTCAGAGACAACACAGCACAATCCACCAGAGCCCGTCTAACAGACATGAAGTGACTGAAGCTACTCTGCAGCTAACATGCTAACCTGAGGCTAACTAACACTTCTTACAATACGGATGAAGTGTTATATTTACTTAATTATAACGGAAGAAACTTTCATGAAACAACACTTATTAATTAAAATAGAAATAACGCAAAAATAGTCACTTTCTGACTGTAAACGTCTCTTGAACTAAATAAAAACATTGCCCTCCCTTTTTGCCCCAACTTGTCCTTCTACTTGTTTTGAATCCTGGCGGTTAGAGAGCTGCTGGGAGAAGCAGTGCTGCCTCCTAGCGGACAGGAGGTGAACAACTGAATTATTAAATGCTAATAATGAAATATAATATTAAAATTGTATTTCTGGATCTTTCAGTTACTATTTTACTGTAGTTCTATGTCCTTATAAGGGACACTTTTTCGCTACACATCCCACAATACAATTGTTCACTTGGAAATTCCAAAATAAACACCTAAAAATGTGTACCTTCGTCTCATTTGATCTATTTTGTTAAATCAGTGAACAGAAGTTAACTGATTTAACCAAATAGATCAAATGAGACGAAGGTACACATTTCTTGATTTCTGTTTCTTTTTTGTATTTAGGTAAAACCTTTATATATACAGTCTATGGGTAAAACACTAAAGATTTGCATTTACTCAATGATGAACTACTTTTGCACTACCGCTAGATGGTGGCAATACTTGTTCCTCTGAATGCACCAACACACATTTAAACCGTAGAAGAAGGCAGACACAAAGATGGTGTATTTTTGTAATGTGCATCACTCCGCAGTAAAGAAATAGGACCAGTTCAACATAGACAAACATTCTGCAAAGTCGACATTATAACCTGATCTCTGAACCATATATATTCAATAATAATATTCCAGATATGATTCACTATTTTTTCAACTCATCCCTTTTAAACTGGATTAACAATGTAAATTGAACGATTTTAACACAGGGCGATAGCTGGCTTCAACACAAATGCTATTGTAAGATGTAGTCTACATCACAAACCAGTCTTAAAACGGTGGGACAGAAAACAAGTAGGTTGTTGTCCATTCAAACTTAAAAAGGCATAATAATTCACCTAAAAGCTGAGCCTACAAATGTACAAACAGGCGACAGAAAACGCAATTTCTGTGGTATCCGTAAAAATGTGCAGAGTGAACTGTCTCTATAATTTTAACATATCTTTGTGTTAGCTAAACAGCATGACCTGCCTTCTTGTCCCAATGACAGACATTAGGGTTTAAGGTGTTGAAAATATGCTTTTCAGTGCTGTCTTTTCTTTAAATTACAGTTAAAGGAACTGAAAAGGACTAACCAGCGTCACTAGATGTAAGTGTGTGTCGATTGCTCACCCTTTATTGTTTTTCTAACTTCTAGCCATGCTAACTGTGACATCAGGGCAAACATTGACAGCAGTTCCCTGTTACTGGGTTTAATGTACTGGTGGTTATTAATCATATTTTAAGTTGTACTTGTTAGACATTTGTACATGCATGTATATGTTATTCAAATAGTGACTTTTACTTTGCTAGAAATCCCTTATTGTAACGCATACCCGTAAAGACTCTATACAGGATCCAATTTGTGATCAATAACACTATCTCATTATATGATTAGCTCCTGATTGTGGCATTATTTTACATTTTAACAGCACCTATAACTTAGCAAGAAAACAGCACATTTGACTTGGCACCAATTTTTAAAAAAGGGGAGCAAACAAAAACAGATGCCTCTTTCTGTCATACATTATAGATAAATACATGTACTGTAAAAACTACATGCAACAAATAAAGCATCTATGTTAGTCTGCTTTGACTTGTTTACTAATATAATATCTCCCTCTCTTTCTTCCAGAAGTCTGTAAAGATGCCAGCTGGTGTGTCTTGGCCTCGGTACCTGAGGATGCTTGGTGCCAGTATGCTGTCCATGTTTGCAGGAGCACAGCTCGTCCATCAGTACTACCTGCCTGATCTGGTAAAGAAAGAGTGATTACATAGAGATTACAAATATATAAACGTCATTGTATTGCACTTTGTATACAAGAAATGCAGCTGAAAGTGGTTTACAATGAAGACGTTATGCACTGAATGCCTCACATGACATTGACAATTAACACAAAACAAGGATATGACAAAAAATACATTTTAACCCATAAGAACCCGGACCCATTTCTACTTTTGGGAAAATTAAGGGGAACATAATTTAGACCAAATAGACCACCTAGAACACATTTCTGACAAGAACCCCCCCTAGTGTCAAATATCTGAAATGTGACATATGTCCACTTTAATGGTAAAATAACTCTTATATATAACTTCATTAATGAGGATGATTTTTTTGGTTTAAATTTGTTTGAACATTCTTTGAATTGAAGAATAAGAACATATTAACTCAATATAATTGAATCAGCTAAATTAACTGAGCAGATCATAATAATATTTCTAATTGTGCATATATGTCACTTTGGGTTTACTGTGAACGTTTAGGGTTAAAGTCCCGATGCGACACCAGTGTCACAGCGATGTTTGTCTCATTTGTTTCATATCAATTTGATCAATACATGTTTCCACAACAGGTTAAATGTAATAAAGGACATGTTATGTAAGCATTTTCATTCTTAAATGGCTTGAATGTTACCTTTAGCAACAAACAAAAAAGCTTTTGAAATGTAGCTAGTTCTGTCACATGTGTTAGTCTGGCACATGGATATGTTGTCATGGGAACACAAAATCACATGACCTGCCCCAGGTTAAATAAGATAATTAAAGAAATACCACCTACTTCATAATTAAATAACAATGAAAATAGAATACATAACATATGTGACATAGTACGCAAAGTGTTTCACAGTGTCCAGTTGTTTTCATTCATTCACTGTTTTTCTCTACTGTGGTAAAGTCAATACTAAAGATAGGCTTTTACTGTTGTGATGATGTGTTAAAACACCCTTTCGATTGTTGGTGGTGTAGCTGCAGAACATACATTAATTTGATGTCAAATGATCAATAGTTAAACAGTTTTGCATGGGAGGACAACACACAACACCACCCAACCAAACAGCCCCACTCCTTCAGTGTATGTGTAACATTACTTACTGTTTTATCTGTATCTTTCAGAGTATACCAGAGACACCTCCAAAGCCCGGGGAGCTCATAACGGAGCTGCAGGGCTACAAACTCAGACAAGAAGCTGCTGCTGCTGCGATGGAGGAGTTTAAAGCACAACACAAAGTGGACTGATCTGGAATTACACTTCCTCTGTGTGACGGACGCTCAATCAGCACATTATTTCCAATCTTTGAAGTTGCCACTCTCCTGGGAGTAAAGTCATGTCTGGGTCATCTGCAAATGGATATTTTCTGTGCAAACAAACTGTTGGCGCCTGGCTCCATGGGATAAGGATCCTCTCTGGAATAAGATGATTTGCTTTATACAACTATTGTTAATTTATCGTTATTGAATGTCTTAGTACTTTCAAACCAAGTGATGAAATGTGTAAGAGAATGCTTCATGAACACACTGTAACTGTAAGTTATTCTGTTCTACTCAAAAGGCATTCTTTTGGTTTGGTTTTTCCCTAAATATACAACATTTTTATAATAAAAAATATCACTCTAAACCTTTGTCATTGCTTTGGGGTAAACATGAGTGACACCTTTGAGAAACATGAAAATATGTTTCAGGTTATTTATTTGTACCCGTAGGTAGATTCTGTTTGCAGAGAAAAAGACAAGGGTTCCACCCTGACACTAAAAACAAACACAAACAACAGACACATCTCTAATAAAAGGACTAGTAAAAAGTACAAGTATACCCTGCTCAACCAAATCTCAAAATATTTCAAAAACATTTGAAGAAGGAAAGCACTAGTACAAACATGGACATTCAAAATTCACGTTTGTTTTTTTAACTGCTATTATAACCGGTGTCAGGGAAGATTGCAAATAATATACTCTGTAAAACTTTTGTTAGAAATCAAATTTACAATCCATATTAAATTGTAATTATTTTGTGTCTTTTTTTACCCCAATGTCCTGGAGTGATACAGGCAACTTGATAACAAAAAATACACTTAAGATAGCTGTGAAATAAATATGTTATGTCAAGGTAATATTGAAAATAATGTCCCTTACATGTAATACGACCTTACAATTTAAAAATACCGAATTCATAGAAAACAATGGCAAACTTTCCACGTTATTAATGAATATATAACTTGTTTAATCTTGTCCCATTTCAACGACAGGATAAACTTCGTAAGAGTTTAAATTCATTAAAGATTGTTAGTTCATCACAAACTCTTTATTACATTTGATTATGCGTAAAAAAAATGTGCGCGCGTCCCTCAACCATTTACCATTAGACGTTGGCGTACAGTATCATAGCAACAGGTCAAAACAAAAGTGGGAAAGATGGCGACCCAGAGAGAGGAAGACGCCGCGGAATATCTTAAAAAACACAATATTATCGAGCTATTGGACAACCTGAGCTGCATGCTCTTCTTCCACAGACCCGGTTAGAGCTTATAGAGAACAAAACATTTACACCCTGTGCTTAAAAACGCTATGTTTTGGCAAAGCTAGCTAGCTAACTTGATTTTAAATACATGCTAGTTTTTGGTTCACTTTTAAGTCACTCATTTTAGCGTATTAACCATATCTGTGCATGATTATAATTTCTCTTTCTGGCTTGTCTGTTTGTCGATACGAATAATAAATATAGGGTTAATACACCGATTTAAAAACACATAATAACCAATAAACATAGCACATTCCCTAAGGGTGATTTGTAAAAGGACACAATTACACAAGATGTCTTTTACAAATTGTATTTAATTTAATATAGGGTTGCATTGTAATTTGTTTTAACTATATATTGTACAGTTGTATGTTACTCTGACTATTAGTATTTTTGATTGTTGCAAACTTTCACTAAAATGTAGCTTTACAATGAGAAAAGCAATTTATTTTCCATATTAACTACAAAACATATTCTTTGTGATTGAATGTTTTCCTCAGAGAAGCCCAGAGAGTTTCTGATCGAGCAGCTGGAGCAGCTGAAGATTTCTCAGCAGACCAGAATGAAAGGACCAAATCTGTTCAACAACGCCAACCTGGACGCAGTGTTTGGGATCCTGGACCCCACGAATCAGAAACACATTACTTTTGCCCAATACAAGCAGGGTAAGCACAGGAAGGGGACACTAGGAGGTATATTTTGTGCACAGATATTGACAATGCACACACTTTGAATGTGAACTCATGTTATTTACATTGGCTGTATTAGTCTAAGCCGGTAAACCGAGAACACCAATTCAATGCATTTCGCTTATAGGTCTTCAATCATTCTTTCTTTATTAGAACCAATAATACTGCTTTTAATACTCTGTTGCCTATGTGTATATTTTAACTTCTTTAAGAAAAATGCAACATGACACCATGAATTGAAATAAATAGTCAGAGATGTTTCCTCCACAGCTCTGATGACACTGGGCATTAAAGACATTAATGAATGTCCTGACGGTGCAAATGAAGACAGGATATCCCATGAAACCTTCAAAACCGAAGCGTAAGAGCAGCTTATATCATATAAACAGCATGGCAATTACTATATTTACCAACATTTTAAAATCCCCTTTATTATCAATGTCATTGTTTTATTGTTTTGTTGTTACAGGATGCAAGGCATACAGAGATGCTCAGCAACATATGAACAACTGTGAACATTTTTGTGATTTTCCACTCACCGGATGTGTTGTTTATTCCACAATATACTGGAATGGATTTTGGATGTGTTCATTAACACTTGGCCTTATGTGGATCTGTGTTTTGTACATTTAGCATATTTCATATCATTTTTGTTATTAAACTGCTAATATGTACTGATTTGGGTTGTATTTGTTCAAGTATTCATCAGCTTTTTAACACTAAAGTCAACAGTTATATATTCTTGTGGAGTTTCTCCTATAAATGGTTAGTTTTACTCTGATATTGCAATAATAAAATACATCTTTCCTAGTGTTTTAAAATCAAACCACTGATCAGATTACAAAGTCTTCTACCCAGAATTACTTAATATATAAAATAATAATAAAGAAATACATTTAGATATAACAGTTTCCGGCAGTGGCTCAGTCAGTAGGGGCTTGGAGTGTGAGCCGTCGGGTCACCGGTTCAAGTGCCCGAACAGACCTGAATATGGAGTGTGGACTGCTACTTGGAGAGGTCCCAGTTCACCTCCTGGGCCCTGCCGTGGTTTCCTTGAGCAAGGCACAGGACACCCCCCACTCCCATTGCTCCCCGGGCGCTGTACAATAGCTGCCCACTGCTCCTAGTACTAGTCCTGGTACTAGGATGGGTTAAATACAGAGAACAGATGTCACTGTGTGTGCTGTGTGCTCTGCATGTGTGGCCATTAAAGAGGGTTTCATCCCTCCCTCCCATTCTATTCTATTTCCATCTTATGTTGTTTGTTTTTATTTTGCTTCTACATTTCTTTATTATTGTATTAATTGATTAACAAGCCTTCCATAATAATGTAGTCTAATTTAATTTAATATATATTGAGCACAGTAATAGTAAACTTGTATTTCTACGTGATGTTGTTATTGATTTCTTAACGGTTTGCAGCGTTGTCGTGTTGAACGCAGCCCAGCAGAAGGGGCGTGGTCAGGAAGTGACGCGGCAGCCGCCTCCCGATTCGGAGCCTCGTCGCCTTTCTGCTCCGGTTACTTGTAGGTTAAATTTGTGGCTCTTTTTCCACGCAGACTTTCGACCACATTTCCCGGGAAAGCGCCCTGCGGAGCTCAGCATGGGCACCGTCCACGCCCGGGTAAGAAAGAGTCCGGTACCCGTGTTAGTCAGCATTTTGACCTCTCCGTGTGTTCAGTCAAAAAACATGCAGAGCGGCCACTGAGTTGCAGAAAGGCCCATAATGTGAATTAAAGAAGCCGTAACTATGCTTTCAGAGCTGTGGTGAGACACTGAATGAGTTTCCTGCTAGTTAGTTTAAGTCTCACAACTAAACTGCTGTGTATTTAGATATAAACCATTGCGAGTACTGACAGATGCTAGAGGCTCCTTCACTCATTGTAGTGTTGCTGCACACTGTTAATTACATCCCTCTCTCTTAGTGTTTTACACCAGATGTCTTTATTGTTTTTAGTCAAAGACATGATATAGAAAATACAGGGGAGTGTTATGTAGCCTTGTATAATTTTATTTTTGTAAAAGAACAACAACATTTACATTTTTCTTGCAATACTTTAGGTCTTTGTTTGTTGCATTGATGAAGGAGCCTTGGTTTTTATGATGTGCATTGTAAACATCTGAGCTGAAGCTGTTGTGCACATAGCAATTAAGCTTTTGAATAATTAAAGACAAGTGTTTTAGGAGGCTATTAGGTATGTCTTAAAATGTATCTCAACACAGTAATCATAAAATAAGGCCTTTTGGCATCAAGTCATTTATCTGCAAGTAACACTGTGACAGAAAAACTATTCATCAACTATTTGGATCATTGTTATTTTCACTTCAAAACATTTAATTGATGTATTTCAACATTTCCTGGATCTAGCTTCTCCAATGTCAGAATGTGCTGCTTTTATCTCTATTATTTTGTTGTTTATTTAATATATTTGGGTAATGGTATTGAACAGTAAAGAAGACATTTGAAGATGTCATCCTGAACTATGTCTTGAGACACTTTATAGAGCAATTGATCCAATAATGGAGAATAACATCTGCAGATAAAGCAATAGTAAACACCTAACATTACCAGAAAAACACCTTGAGTTTTCGTAGCATCTTATTTAACTTCTTCTAATTCATTAAACACTAAAATGTTTTTCCCAATATGTTGTGCGGCAGAGCCTGGACCCTCTGCCCATGCGAGGGCCGGAGCTCGGGGTCCATCCTGACGACATCGAGGCTCCTGAGATCGAGCAGAAGCAAGAAGTCCTCGAAAACAAGAATGTAAGATGTGTTATGTTGCAGGCATTAAATACACCAGAAGTGTTTATTTTACTTGCAAAATTATTATCCATATTTTGTTCTTTGTCTTCTCTGTATTCCTAACGCTGTCTGTCTCCTTCTCAGGTTGTCGTTCAACAAGTTCACATAGATGGGCTCGGAAGAACGAAGGATGACTTGTTGACGTATGAAATCAAAGAAGTTTTCCGGGCAAAGAACCTGATAGATGTAGGTGCACGTTGATACAGCCGAACTACCCAATGATTCTTTAGTTGTAGGCCTCTGAGTAACTGAAACAAGCTTCAAAAACATGACTTCATTTGTTGTGCAGGTGATGCGAAAGTCCCATGAAGCCCGACAGAAGCTGCTGCGCCTCGGTATCTTCAGAAAAGTTGAAGTTGTTATCGACACATCGAGAGGTACAGCCAATCACTGCACTGATATCAGACTAGAGTTGTTACATACACAATCTCAAGATATCTGACTTGTTATTTTAAACCAAACAACCATGTTTTTTCTCTTCTCCTCAGGTGACGGTGCTCTTCCCAACGGCCTCGATGTGACGTTTGAAGTCACCGAGCTGAGGCGGATGACCGGCAGCTACAACACCATGGTCGGGAACAATGAAGGAAGCATGGTGAGCAATATGATCAATGTCACTTTCAAATGCTTTTCTTTTGCACTATATCTTAATGCTCAATGTTTTTTACTTAAGCACTTTGCATTTCATTTTTATTTGTTCCGTTCATGGTATGCAAAACTTAATGTATAATAATTGTTAACAAAAGATGTCTCTATAAACACACCATTGACCAAAAAGGAGCAGGGAGAAGAAAATAAACTTATATGACCTGCCCCTTTCTCCCTAATATTTCTTTTTCACAGCCAAACTTATTCACAGCCAAACATAAGAGTATCTTAGGATAATAAGAGAAACACAAGTACAAAACATAAATTGCATTGTTGTTGAAATGTGCTGTAAAATTAAATGTGCATTAGGGTGGTCCTTAGTGCCATGTACATTTCCGAATTCATTTATTTTAAGCCCCAACCACCAGAATTTGTTATGATAGTCAAGATGACTCTCCTGGTGAATTTTATTCAAATTCCAACAACATTTACCCCTCCTTCATCAACCTTGAAGTTTAGCCTCAGTAGGGTGGTCCTTAAAATTGAAAGTGGGAAAGTCTACGCTCCAACCTCCAGAATTCATTCTATTAGTCAAGAAAACTCTCCTGGTGGATGTGTTCCTCAATCTGACAACATGTACCCCTCCCTCATCAACCTGGGCTGCCACGGTGCTGCAACTGAGGCTACACTTCAAGGTTGATGAGGGAGGGGTACATGTTGTCAGATTGAGGAACACAAAAACCAGGAGTTTTCTTGACTAATCGAATTAATTCTGGGGGTTGGAGCGTAGACTTTCCCACTTTCAATTTTAAGGACCACCCTAATGTGCATACTTGCATATAAACATATTTTGAATGAAATAAACTGGATTACCAATGTCTTCTGTAAAGGTAATTTGATATGAATTTAAGTTTGTCGCACTGGGTTATTTTATCGCGATGAGATTTCACTGTTACTGTGTTTATTTTTGGAGGCCTTTTGTGTTCAAATGTCTTTTGCATGTGATCTTTTTAAAGGTTTGGATGCCTCTGAATACACCATTGAAACCGTAATCATCAAACCCGCTTTGTTTTCAGGTACTGGGCCTGAAGTTACCTAATGTTTTGGGTCGAGCAGAGAAGATGAACTTCCAGTTCTCCTACGGCACCAAAGAGACGTCCTACGGTCTGTCCTTCTTCAAACCCCAACCTGGGAACTTTGAACGCAAGTAAGACATAAAAAAGAATGTTTTTATGTCTAATTGACTTACTACATAGTATGGTCTTTAGAGAGATGGGTATATGTTGTGATCTCAAAGGAACTGTAACCAGGTGTTGACATTTAATTATTTTCCTTTTCCAGCATCACACTCAACATGTACAAAGTAACGGGTCAGTTTCCCTGGAGTTCACTGAGGGAGACGGATCGAGGCATCTCTGGAGAAATGAGCGTAAATACTTATTTCTATTCATGTGTCTATTTATTTCATTTTGCGCAGTTAAAACCTTTTTTCTAAAACAAATTCTGTGTAAGTTAACTGAGCCACAAAGAGTCATACTAGAAGGCAGTACAGTGATTTGTAAAGTACTAAGAAGTCTGGGGGTTGGCTCTTTAAAAAAGAGTTTGGACTTGGTTTTCTTACATTCTTCGTTAAAACTTTATTTAACAAGTAGGGTCCCATTGATGACGATCAGACTACAGACTTTTGAAAAGTGAAATTTAGAGTCAGTTTTGTAACCAAGAACATTTCAAATCATCAAAGTCTTAAGGAATTGGCTTCTTATTCTTTAGTTTTGGAGGGATCAATTAATATTCCAAGCTGAGAGTGTATCCCTTTTTCCAATTTCCATTTAGGACAGATTTAATGGATGGAATAATAAAGAGGTCTATCAACAGAAGCCTCTCAGAGAGCCATTTAATGACACAATAGATGCTGTGTTACAAACAATGTACGATAATGCATGTGATCTGTACCAAAGTAACTCACGTCTTATAACCATTTCCCCTCCCTCAGTTCCCCTTGTGGAAGACCAGCCAGACCCTGAAGTGGGAGGGGGTGTGGAGGGAGCTCGGCTGTCTCGCTCGCACCGCCTCCTTCGCCGTCCGGGAGGAGAGCGGCCACTCCCTCAAATCCTCTCTCTCGGTATTTCCCTCTCATTTTATATTCAAATGATTTGACTGTAGGCTTGGGAATATAGTGGGTGATAAACCAGGATTTATGTGTGATTGGTGTCATTTTGTTTTTCAGCACTCTATGGTCATCGACACGAGAAACTCCTCCATCCTTCCCAGGAAAGGCGGCCTGTTAAAGATCCATCAGGTTAGTCGTTTAACACAGAACAAGAGCTTTTTATGAGTATATTTTAAAGGGGACCTATCATGCAAAATGCACTTTTTATACATAAATATGTGTCCCCGGTACCCTCTCTCTTTTCCTCCGTACCCAAATCTCTAAAAACGGGGCTACAACGGAGTTGATCCAGATTTGCGTCCGATATGACGTAATATCGGAAATGTAGGCTGGCTTACACTCACGGCCCTATCAGAAACGTTGCTATCAGAAACAATGCCCGACTGTTTTGGACGTAATATGGTCGTGTTTACATTAGCATCGCTAACACTCAGAGCTAACCTGTACTGGAGAGCATGTGTGTGAAGAAGCAGGAAATAAAAAGGAACTCACCTTGTGGTATAACCGGCAAGAGAGAAAGCCTTTGAGCTCCATACTGTTTCAGAGAGAATCCTTGATAATCCATGATATGGCGTTTCATCACGGCAGTATTTAGTTTAGACAGTAGCTGCCGGGTCCCGCATGAGCTCAGCCCCCTCCTTTTTTATTATCAATTTTTATACCCCAAATCAGCACTTTTGAAACAGGAAGTGAAATAGAGGGATATGAGGCATGGCCAGAATGGGTGATCTGTTTGGTATTTTGAGCTAAACACTTCATAGACATTTTTTATACATCTGAGACCTATGCTATTGCCTAAAAATAGCATGATAGGTGACCTTTAAGGTTTCCCGTCTTGCCCAACCTGTGAATGCTCAAACGTCCAAGGATGAACTAATTACATTTTGCCAATCAATGGTCACTGTGACACTAACAAAACATGCTTTTGTCCGTCACTCCTGAATACATGTGCTACTGACAATCTTACAGAAACGTTTAGTGGGATGAATTGATACCATGACATTTTGGGCAGAAAAGTAATCTAAACTGCAACTGCATTAACTGGGTGGTAATTCTAGTTTTTAAGTTAAATATAAAAAACAATACGACTGTTCATGTGGACCAGGTTGACGTTTCTGTTGTTGTTTCTGATGTGTAGGAACTTGCTGGTTACACCGGAGGAGACGCCAGTTTCCTGAAAGAGGACTTTGAGATCCAGCTCAACAAAACACTCTACTGGGACTCGGTGAGATTCACATTCATTTACAAAAAGAAAAGCTTTTTTTTAAAAGCGCTTTATGTTTTCTCTGGGTTTCAAGATCCTAATAAATGACTCCAGTAGCATATTCAGGCTTTAGTTGGCAGATAAATTCACTTTATTAAACCCTTTTCTCCTCCAGGTCCTTTCTGCTTCAATGTGGGGGGGTCTGCTGCTGCCCATTGGGGACAAGCCAACAAGCATAGCAGACAGGTACAGAAACAAAATGCACCACATTATTATAAACTATTACGATATGCATGAGACCAGTGTCTTTAAGTCGTGGCACTCAAAACAACATAAGCCCAGTTTTTTTGCCTGTATTTGTTTTACATTCTACCAAATTCACACCAAAAGTGTTGACGAAATTAACTATTAGAAGTTTGTGTTTGCAAAGTACCCGTGTACGGTAAGACATCTCTGGAATACTTTGATATTGAAGAAAACTTAAATAAGGGATTATTTTAAGGCAAGTTTTGTAGTTTTAGGGAGTTCCTTTTTTATGATTTCTAAGTACCGTTATGACAAAGATCATAAATAAGGATGTATGGCAAACCAAAGAATTATAAAACAGTACATTTAGCCAGATTCAAAAGACTTGGTTTAAAAATATCAGCATTTTCTGACCTATATCTTTAGGGAGTACAACTTTGCACAATTTAGGCAATTTTAGGCAAATTGCTGCAATGGAGAAAACTATATTCAATTTTTAAAAAAGTACTTATTTCCCATTTTTCGTTTTCATTTATTCAATTCCATGTGGCTTTATTGGCATGGGACTGTTGCAAAAGCATATAATAATATGAATATTAACACAACTGGAAACCCATAACTGTATATATCGTATGTTTTAGACGATAGGTACTTTATTGATCCCAATTTTGGAAATGTTTGCGTTGCAGCAGCATAAAAACAAGGCAATGTACATAAGAGAAATTATGACATAAGAAATAAACAGTCCAAAATATTTCTGAAATAAAATGGCATTAAAAAGTAAAAAAATAAAAGATATATATACGTGGAAAATATACATGTGGAAATGTATGTGTTTCTGTGGTCCTCCTAGGTTCTATCTGGGCGGCCCCACCAGCATCCGAGGGTTCAGTATGTACAGTCTGGGTCCGCAGAGTGAAGGTGAGACCTTACCCTCTCTGAGCTGGTGAACGTTGGAGTTTGATGGTTATTTAAATGTTGTGTGCTTTGATTACTGATGTGGCAGGAGACTACCTGGGAGGAGAGGGCTACTGGGCGGGGGGGCTGCACCTCTACACCCCTCTGCCCTTCAGACCGGGCAAGGGGGGCTTCGGGGATCTCTTCAGGACGCACTTCTTCCTCAACGCCGGAAACCTCTGTAACCTCAACTATGGTGAGAAGATAACAGAACGAGCACCTCTGTAATGTTTTGGGTTCATGCTATCGTGATATCTAGTCTTGTATCACAATATGGAGTAGGGGACAATGTGCAGAGAGGCGGTCATTCATGAAAACTGACCACCAGGTGAGCGGGATCCTGACGTGAATATAAAATAATATTCAAAAATGATTCTATGGTGTTTTCTGATGTAGAAAATATATATGTTAGTTATCCACAGCTGACGTTACATTTATTTAACTCTTTACATAGTCCCTTGATCCTCATTAGCAACGGTCTGTTCTCCTTAGCAGTGGTCTGTTATTGAAAATGAACAACCTCTGGAATGTCCAAATTGACCAATCAGAATCGAGTATTAAACTAACTTGTGTAATAACAGAGTATAGCCCAGCCCTAGGTTGAATTTGTATTATACCCTCTGGTTTGGAAGGTGTGGAGTGTAGTAGAAATAGATGATGAAAGCAATATGATACATTCAGAAATGAAAACTTTTTTTTTTTTCTCACTCAGGTGAGGGGCCAAAAGCTCACCTGAAGAAACTGGCAGAATGCATCCGCTGGTCGTACGGAGTGGGCATCGTGCTACGTCTAGGGAACATCGCCAGGCTGGAGCTGAACTACTGCATTCCCATGGGAGTCCAGAGCGGAGACAGGTAAGAGCTGCTGAGGAAACAAACCATCACACAGAAACTGCCTGGACAGGTGGGCTCTCTACCTCTGAAAGTGAGCCTCACATCTGTTTACATGTGTCAGTAATGCAGGAAATATTGAGCACTGTCAAGCTTGCACCTGATGACTGAAGTGGGTTTGTTTAATGTCAATAGTCGGTCTATTATTAATTGACAGTCCTGCCGTAGCAACAGAAAACAAATCAACAATTCTCAGATATGTCAATTAAACAAAATCACTATATTTAAGTAAGTCTAAGTATACACTATATTCAGAATATGTTCTCGGCTGTATCTTGCCACCAGTAAGGGAAACTTGTCTTTACTGTTTTTCTCAATGGTGGCTTTGAAGGTAGTATAATTTCACTTTCAGTTCCTCGTGGGAAAGCTCCGTCTTCTGGCAAAATAAAGCATAACAGATATTCTAAGCACAGAGTACCCTAAGCTGAGCAAACCTACTCGATTGTATAGGTGGTTTAAATGTTTTAGTTTCTGGCCCCGTGCGCAGCATTACATTGATTAGCTATCGTGACACTGACTATATACGAGTACCTTACAACTCCATACAGAAAGTCTGATTCTTGATATTCTTTTATTTGTATTTGAACCGTTTCCTCCGTTCCCTGCAGGATCTGTGACGGCGTCCAGTTCGGAGCAGGAATCCGCTTCCTGTGAATCCACACTTCTTTGGATGTAGAACTTTGTTTGTTTTGTATCAGCATTATTTAATGGCAGAAACAGGAAGTTGCTTGTACAGAATTGTTGTTACGACTAATTAGTTCAATAAAAGTGTTTGCACTGATTTTTGCACCGGGTAATTTCAGAGGTCAAATACTCCGAGTCTCAGATTTGACTCCTTCACTTAGTTTAAATGTTCTCATGAATGAACCAGAGTATGTCACAAGATACATATCTGTAAGTCGTATACCAGCAAATTGTATTTACATTTTTGAATAATTGCTAAATTAATTGATTAGGAAAGGAAAAAAAAAACATTACATTGAGCTTACAATAAGTGCGTTCGACCAAGAAGATACAAACTTGAAGAAAACAGAATCATATAAGTACATCAGGTTTCATAGAGCCAAAACATTTCAAGTGCTACTCAACTGGCTTTAGGTAAGCCAGTCCTTTATTAGTATATAAGTGCTTTGTTAGTAATTCTATCGCTCGAAGTGGAGTCGAAAGAGATGAGTTTTCAGTCTGCGCCGGAAGGTGTGTAAGCTATCTGCTGTCCTGATGTCAATGGGGAGCTCATTCCACCATTTAGGAGCCAGGATAGCAAACCCACGTGTTTTTGCTGATGGGAACTTGGGTCCCCCTCGCAGTGCGGGTGCAGCGAGCCGTTTGGCTGATGCAGAGCGGAGTGCACGTGCTGGGGTGTATGTTGAGCTTCTTAAATATGAACATTGAATACCTTTCTGTTGTATATCATTATAAACTGAATATCTCAAGGTTTTGTTCTGATAATTTAACAGAAGGTATTTGAAGATCTTGGACTCTGGAAACTTAAAGACATTATACCATTCTGCTACTCCGAAGAAATGATGATAAAATGATTAAAAGATCAATTGACGGAAAATGGAAAGTTTCAGCCCTATATGTTTATCATTATGCTATGACTTTAAACACTATTTGGAATAACAAGAGGTTTGAATGAAGATCATACAGTAAGTTTTGGTTTTGTGGGCCTTTTTATTTCACAATCCTTCCAAATGTACAAAAACAAAGACGTTACAAAAGAAAAAAGGATTTCACCATTACCATTATCCCCGTGACGACGACAAAAAAAAAAAACAGAGCGACAGATGACTGGCGTCAAACCAAAGTGCATCAGCCTGAGGTGCAGAAGACACACCAAGGGAAATAAAAATCTCAATTTTCAAAAAGCTGTCCCCTCTTCCCTAAGAATTTGTTTTTAAACATCGGGCAGGCCCTGGCCACCTCCTCCTTCCACAGATTTCCCAGAGCAGCGGAGGACCTAAAGGGACCGTCTGTTTCGGCCTCAGAGCATTCGGTAGTTCACTAAGAGAGTGGAATATAATTTAGTCCTTTGTTTGCATGAATTCCCCCAATCCTCCTCCTCCTGTTGTGAAGGGGATGTTGAGTTCCTGTTTGGAGCTTTTATAGCTCGATCTTATCGTCGTCGTCGTTCTTCTTCTTGCTCTCCTCCTCCACCACCAGAGTGTTGGTGGCCTCCTTCTTCAGGTAGGCGATGAAGTCGCTCACCTCGCGGCCGCCCTGCAACACGAGCGGAGAGACGGGACAATTAGCCGAGTGGAGACACAAATACCGAAGCCATTTTTACTTTAATAGGATTATAAGTCAATGTTTTGAGTCATATTTTACATCTCAATCTTTATATATATATTTTTACATGATACTGGGATTTGATATACATGTTAACTAATGTCTCCCTCTGCTGTCCCATTGTTATGCCATATATGGACGTACACGTTAGTCACCGTGCATGATAGTCAGTTTTTGTTATGGCTGGAATATACGGCAAACTCCTTTCCATACATTTGAGTTCATCTTGATGTATGTTTGTAGGCTGGCCGCCCGTATTGAAAAACAAATATGAACTGATGCAACATAACAACGACCTCTGCGCATGTTTGGTCAGAAGTCAGAATCCACAACGCCATGGGAGGGGCAGTGGATTGTTTTTGCCGCTTGGACAAACAAGAGTTTAATTTGTTTTATTGATCAGGGATTCTTACCTCGTATTTCTTCGGGCTCGTCTTGCTTCCAGCTGGGGAAAAGTACAGTGTGGGGAATCTGAGGAGGAAATCAAATCATTAATACATCGTACTCAACCATTAGATACTTTTAAAAATATTAATTCTGTAACCAAGCCTAAAAAAAAAGTGACACCTTATCAAAGGTTCCCAAATCCACAAAGATGAATTTGATCAAGGGTTAGGGTAACTTATCAGCCTACATATAAACGGACGGATGTTTTACTTCCTGAATACTCGACACTCACCCGCTGACTTCATATGGAGATGGCACATCGTTTGCTGTGGCGTCCATCTTTGCAATGACAACGTTGGGATCATTGCCGAGCTTTAAGAGGAGAGAAACTGTTAGTGCGCTTGTTCACAACATCCAGAGAGTCTGAGCAACCATTCAAGCTAAAAAGATAACTGGCTGTACTCATTGAATACAGAGCTGAAATGATTAACTGACACTATTCAACCCCAAACCTTTTCTCTGCCCAGTTCTTGATGGTTAAATCTGCAGTTTTTATTCAGAGTACCGCTTCAGTTTCCTCACCTTCTCTCCCAGCTCGTTGAATTTGGGCTCCAGGGTCTTGCAGTGTCCGCACCACGGAGCGTAAAACTCGATCAGCACGTCTTTGCTGTCGTCGTTCACGATGGAGTCGAAGTTCTCTGCCACAAGAACCTGAACACAAAGGGTACACATCACAGGTTTAATCATTATGGATTAAATGTATAAGAGACTATATACGAGTGAGGTCTTTTTTACTGTAATATTGTCGGCATGTAAAGTCAGAATTAGTGCTTGGTACGTAGCAAGAGGTCCGGAAAATTCAGAAAGCTCTGCTCTAAATCATTCAAATAAACCTTTTTTGCTACCCTTACAAAACTTAACACAAATGTAATTGAAACCTCCTGAGGCTGAACTCAGGATCTGGCTGTATTGAAGGGCGAAGCATCTGTGTATATTTGTTACTACACATTAAGTATTAAAAAAGTGGGAACATGCGAAAGGTCACCGTTGGAATAAATTCATAAAAATCAACAGCACAGAAATGAAGAATCCATCTGGATGTTTGTCTCACCTTGACGGGTCCGTCGTTGCTCTCTGGGATGGGCTCTGATTTGAGGTAACGCTTCAACGAGCCGTCAAAGTAAGCCTGCAGGAAACGCTCCAGAGCTTTGCCATCACGACTGTCGGGAGAACAAGAACACAACTTGTTTAAGGAGGGGAGAGACAACCAAGAAACATCAACACTGTCCAAGTTTTTACATTTTCAGGATTTCAAGGCTTTTATTGTCCTTCGTACAGTGTAGTTATGTCGATGAAAATCTTAGGTCACAGGCTCCTCCAACAGTGCAACACAATAAATAAGATACAATAGTACATGTAATTACAATATAGAATAGAAGTAGTGCGTATATACACTATATAGAGTCTATATACAAGTGATATATCATTTGTAAGTTGCAAACAGACGAATATTATGGATGTTCTTAATTATACTTTTCTGTACAACTTTTACAAATCTGAATGAGAGATTGTACAGTATTTCTCTTTGTCTAGATAACACACATAATTAGTTAAACAGTCTTAAAACATCTGGAGGGAGAGTGTGTGTGTGTGTTTTTCTGTGGTAATTTCTGGTGCACTTGTGGCAAACATTCGCCATGACTTACGAGAACTCCTCAGCCATGATGTATTTGTCTCCCTTGCTGGTGCGGATGGCCACCAGGGGGAGCTCTCCTGAACTTCCATCCATGCCGAACTCGGACACATCCTGGCCGAAGGCGCTCTTGCTGGCCACGGCGAAGTTCAGACTCTTGCCCTGATCCAGGAAGACCTTGGCTACCTTCATCACCCTGGAAAAAAGGAAATTGTGGTCCGTTTTAAAAGTCAGGCTTTTGATCTCGAGAAAATGGCATCTCTAATCCTAGGATGAAAATACGTAAGTGACAGCAGCGGATTCTCAAGTTTGTAATTAAGGGAGAGAAAGTAAAAACCAAAGTGTTTTTCATTTAAATATAGTTAAACTCCATTTGTGTGTTTAAAAGAATATAGAAAAGATGGATTTGATCACAAGGAGAAAACATCGGCCCTGGGGAGAGTTCAGAAACACGTACCTGTTCCTCCAGTAGTTGGAGCCCTTGGGATTCTTTTCATAATCAACCTCATAATAAGCCACCAGCAGGTCTTCCCCCCGGATCTGGTCTTTGTTGTCGTCTGTCATGTGTGGGCAGATTCCAAAGCTGAGGTGAAAAAAAGAGAGGAAGGATAAATCAGTTTACAAGAAGGAATTCAAACCAACAAGTGTTGCTTTAGACAACCACACATACAGACGGTTTAGTGCAGGGGGGTCAAACTCAAATACACAGTGGGCCAACATTTAAAAAAAAAAAATGGGTACTAGTCGAGGGCCGGACTGGTTCAATGTTTATTGCAGAACTTATTGAAATGAACGTATTGCACATATTAAACCTGGAACTAACAAAGCTTAAATGATTGCCTATAAAAACAACATTAAACATTAAATAATCAGTTGCATTCATTTCTTATGGCTCTATCTGCAGCTTTTCCAGAGTCATTTCTTATGATTACATTTTCCCACAGGCCAACAACAGCTTCAACAAAACATTTCCCTCAAAGACAAAAACAAACATGCCCTGCTGTCCTGAGAGAGAAAGTGCAGAAGGAAACATCCATTAAACTCAGTGTGCTGCTCTGTGATGCTAGTTCAGATACTTGGCATCTCATCTTGGGTGCAAGGTCATCAATGTTTGGGGTCAGGCTCTGAGCGGAGGAGACCCTCAGGGTGGAGTGAAGGTGTGCGTGCAATATACCGGCGGGCCAGATCTAATAGTAATTAGAAATTATCCTGCGGGCCGAAATTAAATCCACCACGGGCCTGATTTGGCCCCCGGGCCTTGAGTTTGACACGTCTGCTGTAGTGCAATCATTTAGTTTGTTTAAAGGTTTTATCTGATAACAAGATGCCTGAAAAGCAGAATAGGTGAAATGCAAACACACTGATTAGCTGCATATTTCAACCTCATGCAGGTATTGTTGAGACAAGAGGCGAGGCAGGAACAAAGGGAAAGTGAAAGAAAAGAGTGTATTTTGGGCACAGGAAGCTGCAGCTTAGTCACATGACTAAGTGTGAAATGTGAATACTGGTTAACCATACGTAGATATCATCTTGAGCCCATTTGTAAGTTTTATAGAAACGTGTGCTTGAAATTCCAACTAAAAAAGACAAATTGATCGTTACTACAAGTCCTGTAAATTAATAAAAAGTATAAAAAAGTCACTTATTGCACATACTGGGAAACAAATAAATGAATCACTGCCAAGATGGATTGCCTCAACATTTCAATGCGCAAATATGGAAACTCGATTTAGGGCAGTCTAATGGGCCCTGCATGCAAATGGAGGGGGGAGGGGCAGAAATAACAATGGAAATAGCATGCTTGTGTTTTCACTTTGAAGAGAACTTAAACAATGTGTTTTTAAGTTCACTAGTGTACAACATCTTAAAAAACTGTTTGGCAATATCAACTTAAAGATGACTTCAGGCAACTTTAATAACTTGTGAAGATTGAGAGGCCAGCAAACTGTCTCCACATATCTCTAAGTGTAATACTTTTTCATGCTGAGTTTGAAGATATTGATCTTCTCTTTCAACTGCATTCAAACAAACGGAGGCATCACTCGGAGGCATCACTCGGAGGCATCACTCTGGCTCGATCAAATGACGCAGCCATGATGATTGGCGAGGACCGGTTTTTTATTTTTCTACTCTGAAAGAACCACTATTATTTTCTATTTAACTTCCATCATGTCATTGAACCAGACTATAAAGTCCAGTATTTTATTAATGACAAGTAAGAAACGTAACAGACATGAGTGAGCGCTGACTGTTTGCCGAGTGGAGGCCTCACCCACCACACAAGGTCCTGTTGGAACTGGGCCATGCATGTAAATATGTGCCGTTACTGTGCAAGATAACGGATGGGTTCACCAGTGCTAACAAGAACAGCTATTGTAGGCGAGGTTTGCAGATGTTAGATTGAGATAACTTTAACACTCACATGTTGTCTTGGATGAACTTCTTGATTTTGTTGCTTGTGTAAACGTCCCCGCTGAATTGGACGGTGCCGTCTTCAAACTTGTTGTTGAGTCTTGGTGGGCGGAACAGGACGACTCCCCTGGAAACAAAACACGAAATGTCAATGAAGTCTTCCTGCATCACAAATGTGTAAGGGCACCAGGTATTTAGCAAATATCTGCTCCCAAGGACTTGAAGCAAGAATAATGAATACACTAAAGGCAAGAGATTTGTCTTGGCAGATGAGAAGCGCTATATAAATTAAATGTATTTATTTATTTTTATTTAAGAGTACACTTTAATTGTCTTCTCCATGATGGTATGTTTGTGTTTTTATCATGTTCTGTTGCTTTTACCTCATAGAATATTTAACAAATTGTACAGTGTCCTTCGTAGTCATGAAAGGCAACTTAAATAAAATGTATTATTATTATTAGGAGGAGGAGCTACTTACTCTGCATCAACACCATGGCTTGCGAGGAGAGCCTCAGAGTTGGTGTGGGCGAAGCGGTAGTTCTCCCTCAAGGCGTTGGCGGCCTTGGCGAACTCTGCCTGAGCTGTGCTCTTCTCATCAGCAAAGAACCCTGGGAACGAAAAGATGAATCATGTTCAAGACTCAAGTCTTGTATTTTCATGTGTACATAGCTACAGTGTAGATATATCAATGAAAATCTTAGGTCACAGGCTCCTCAACGATGCCACATAATAAAAACAGATACAAATAGTTAAGATGTTCAGATCAGGATGCAATAACCCTGGTCTTATCGTGTCAAATGTTCCCATAGAGTGACTGAAATTTGAAAAGTAACTCACCAACAACACTTGCGTCTGAGTCTGAGGTGTATTTGGCCAAGTCTGCCTCGGTCTTGAGCTCCACAGAAGCTGGTCCACCCTGCTTCTTCAGGAAACTGACAATCCCATCTACAGAGAGTCAGAGGGAAGCAGACGGACGACAGGGAGAAGATGGGAGCGAAGCAGAAGAAATGTCAATAACCTTGAGGTGACAGAGGATCAGATAGAGAGCCTTGAATAGAATTTAAACACATAAAAAAATTAAAAAATCATATCAGAGGCAAATACCTGCAGTCCTGGGACCATCATAGGGACCCGTCTCCTCTCCATCTCTGAAGATCTTCAGGGTCGGGTACCCACTGACACCATATTTGCTGCATACGTTGCTGCTGGTTGTGCAGTCCACCTGAGGGGAAAGGAAAATCGTTCACTTTCTGAAGAGTCACGAGAGAGACTCAGAACAGAAAGCCACATTGAAAGAAACGGAGTTAATTGAAGTGCATTATACCTTGACCAGAGCGACGTTTCCTTTCAGACGAGTGGCGGCTACCTCGTACTCAGGTGCCAGTCGCTTACAGTGGCCACACCTAAAGGACACAGAGGAAACGGATCAGTCAAACAAGGGAATTACTTACACATATACTAAGCCGTGTTCAAGTTTCATCTTAGAGGAAATCCGGAGGGAGATTAAGTTATTTCAGTGGAATTTGACACCACTAAGGTGAATAGGGGTGTGTACAATTTAAAAAAGTTAGTAAAGAAAATATCAGTGGAGTGTGATTCACAAGATTATAAACCAAGTAACTTTACTTGTCAGAAGCCCATGTTTTCATGACCAAAATGACTTGGTTTAGTGTCACAGACAACTAAGAAATAAAATCTTTAAAACTACAAGGTAGAAGAAATTGTATTTTAGCATTTGGAAAAAACCGTAGCGTTTACTTAAGTGTTTAATTTCAACGTTTTAGTCAATATTATAAACTTTTTGTTTAAGTTTGCCACATTAGAAAACACGTCACAGTTGCCATGGACCAATCAGAGAAGGACACCAAAACTTCCCAGACCAATCAGAACGTTACAACAGGGAAAGGACACACCCCTAACTTCCTGGTAGGATAATTAGCTCACGGTTTCCATAGAAAATGCTTCACAGCGGCTAAAAGCAGCAAATCATTACCAAGGAAACCTCATTTATTACAGTTTAATGTTTAAATGCACTGTCAAGTAATACATGTCTGTCAATTACGGGTGCACTTAAACAAAACATATGAATGAACAGCTAGGATTTAGACCTTTCCGCTTCTAGCTAACATGCTAATGTGTGATCACTAGCCAATAAAAGGAAGACTATTTGACACACATCTGATAATCTGCCACATAGTTCCTAAAATGCTCTCCACAAAGCATTATGTTTTATCCAATCTATAGGAAATACTCACCATGGGGCAAAAAACTCCACAAGAGCCAGACCATGGAGTCCAATTTTGCTTTCGAAATCATCATCCGTGTAGTCATGCACGTCGCTGGCCCCGATGAAGCCGGCGAGGGCAGCCAAAACCAGCACCCTCAACATGTTAAAAGGGCTTTTTTACTTTGTTTAACAAAGTAAAAAGATGCAAATCGTTTCTGTGGGCAGCCCTCCTCTTCCTCTTCAGCTCTTGTGCGGCTGAAAGCTCCTCCGACAGGGCCTAATGAAGCAGACTGGAGGCTGATGTTGGCGAACGATTGAGATGTGCAGTTACACAGCGGGGACCTCTCCTAACCACACTGTGGCAGCCTCCCATTGGTCTATTTGACCTGTCACTCTGCCTCTGTCAGCCAATGGGAAACTGCCAAATGAGAGATTGTCGTCTCAGGACCAATCAGAACTCGACAAAAATCACACATAGAAGGGATGATGTTACTAGTTGACTGCTTGATATCATGGCTTTTTAATGAAGTACAAATAACTCTAAATGTGTAATTATTTAAGGTGTAGATTTAATCTTAATCTTAATGATTGCTAATTTTGTGAAAAATATATTTATTTAGCATTTTCTTTTAGGGAAGGAAATGTGCAGGTGTCTTTGGAAATACTTGCATTAATTACTCTGGATTTTTTTTTGTGATTCCCAGTACATTTTAAGACATCACTTATTCTGGGAATGATTGTTTTCCTATATAATACATTCTTAAAACACAACAGGTGTGGTATTTAAATTTTTCAATACAAAAGCAATCAAATATATATATTTGTAATTCTCAAAACTTTAGGGTTTCAACTTTTTCCCCCAAAAGTTGTTCTTCATAAAAACAGTAGCCAATTATGTTTCTGTTTTTTTTCTGCAATTAATGAGTTTATGGTTGCAGTTCTAGTCTCTACCACTAGTTCTTGTTATAAGTTCTCCCAGGGCCTGCATCCTTATTTAACCTTATATCGTGCTCACACTTTGTATGCCCCTGAATACAGTTGTGATCGATCAGAATTACTACACATAAACTGAGACAGAGGTCTTTCTATCTATCATTAACACAATTTTTTATTTTTAGATTTTCCTTCACTGGCAGCACTTGTGGTGACGTCACACCTTTTAACGTAAAAATCACAGGTGTTTTAAAATGAAGTACAACCTTGCCTCTGACTGACGTAAGTAAGTAAGTACACCTTTATTTTATAGCACCCTTCTCAACACGAATGTACAAAGTGCTTTACAGTATACAGTACACAATACACAATTCAAAGTACAACTATAAAATGTAGAATAAAAGGCATAAAACACAGCAGGTAAAACACAGGATAAAACACCAATGAAAGACAGCTACTTAAAAATCTCTGAGACATTGGGAGTTCATTCCAAAGCCTTGGGGCCACCGCCTCAACGGCACGGTCTCCCTTAGTTTTTAACCTCGTTCGGGGCACCCTTAGGAGGCCTTGCTCAGAGGACCTCAGGGCCCGGGTTGTGCTGTGAGGGTGGATAAGGTCGTTAACCCTTGTGTGGTGTTCGGGTCAAATTGACCCGATTTCCATTTTCAATGAATAAAAAAAAATATAAGGATATTTTCGTTCAACCTGAAACTCAATGGCCGGGGCTTATTTATTGTGAAGGACATGTGGAATTGTTTTTATTTTTTTCCACTTATGAAAAAATGCCCACCCGCATTTATGTCCTTCATAAGAGGTTCGGGTCAATCTGACCCGGATACAATACCAGGATAGACAGACAGAGAAAAACACACAAAAACACACAAACTAAAGACACACACACACACACATACATACATACATACATACACGCACTGTTACGTGCCGTAGTGGGTGCTGGTGTTTGGGTGTGTGTGCGTGTGTCTTTCTCTCTCTCCCTCTATATTAGAGGCTTCTCAATACTCAAATTTCCCCTCCTCGACTCCTCGGTCCTCGGTCCTCCGGTAGTGACCCGGAAATGAATTTCAGCGCGCCATTTTGAAGGACGTCTCATTTCTCTAAATGCACACCGAGGACCGAGCATCGAGCGTCGAGGAGGCTCTCTGGAGGAGCTATAACTGAGGATACACTGATGGTTCCTCCACGGCTCCTCCACGGATGCATTTCCGGGAACGGTGGAGGCGTGACGCACGGCCGGACTTATCTCAGCCAATGACAGCTATGCATGCATCCCCTGGATATTATTTTAGAAACTGCTTTCATCGCGTCTCGATGTTTCCAGAGAGAACAGCTGTACGGTCCATGCAGAAAGCAGAGCAGTGTGTATAATATATATCACTCAGTATAACAGGCCTACTCGCTTTATTTGCTTTAGTTTAGTAGATATCTACAAACAAAGAGTCGATATTTTTCTAAGACCATTGCTTCACATAATAAAATACACAACGGCTTATGCTTTTGGAGCTGTAGGTGTGTGTGGTACAGTGTGTAGGTGTGTGTTGTACAGTGCGTAAATGCGGCGGACAGACGGGTCTCAGTTGGTTTGGTGTCCTCTGCTTACTTTTAATAGGCATACTTGTAAATACAACTTTTGGCCCGTCATTTCAATTCCCCATTTCAGCGACCAGAGAGAGGGGGGGATATATCCAGTCTCTGATTGTGTTACGTTATTATGAGAGTGCTCTCATACTTTAAATTGTATATATTTATATACATATATTTGTGTGTGTGTCCCCGCATCTGTAGCCTGTTATTGTCTCATTATACCGCACTCTCAATGAATTCAAAGTAAATATGTGGGGGAACAATGTTCAGCTGATCTAACACAGATACAGCGCTATGACAAAACACTCGACAGCTGATGCAGCTGTTGCCACGTAATAATGAACGGACGTCTCTTTAAAATGACCGCTCAGAGGAGAGGAGTTCTCATTTCTTTAAACGTCTGCTGCTTCCCCTCCTCTCTCCTCGGTTCCCCTCCTCGGTCCTCCGCTCGCATCTCCTGTGGGCGGGTCTAAGTCTCGAGGAGGGGAACCGAGGAGGGGAAATTTGAGTATTGAGACGCCTCTATTGTCTCCAGGTGCAGCCTCTCCCTCCAGGTGCAGCTTCTCCTCCAGGCGCTCCCAATCACCAATCAGGGCCTCCATAAAGGACCTGAGAAAAGCTGCAGTGCTCTCTCCTGCTCCTCTGGCTGCATGGGTGCTGCATGGTGTCTATGTCTCTGTGTGAGGCCTGTGTTCTTGTGAATTGTTAGATGTGCTCCAGTTTACCTTTTCGTGTATTGTTTATTTTAGTTTGCTTTGCAAGTTGGCTGGTGATCCCTTTTTCTTTTGTCCATTAAAACATCACTTTGTGGCTTCAGTAGACAGTTTCCGCTCTTTTTTCTCGTGCCTGGTCCTTTCTGTGCTTTGTTACTTCCCTTCGTACCCCTAGATTAGGAGGGAACGTAACAAATGGGGGCTCGTCCGGGATTTGAGACAAAGAGTGAGTACTTGTTTGTTGTATAGTGTTTGGTGGTGAGCAGTGGTGTATATAGGTGTAGCATTGGCTGTGAAGTCTCTTACTGTTGAACAGCTTCCTCAGTTTGGATAGGGGAGTGTCTAGCTGGGCTGAATCAGTCCTTCCTTCAGGCACTCATTTATTATTTTTGCCTTTTTTATTTTCGGGGTAATCCTGGGTGGGGATTTCTTCCCTGTTGGGGGCAGGCGTTTCAGGGTTTCGGCCGCTGATGTTTGCCTTTAAAGTCGCCTCGAGCCCGGCACGCTCCAGAAGATGGTTAGGTAAGTCGTGGTAGGCAGAATCTGGGGAAGTTCGTTATTTGGAAGACTGACGTCAATGTTTGTGAGGTATTAGTGGTAGGATTTTTATTTTTTTTAACTCTTCTAATTAGCTGTGGTTCAGGATGGTTTTTGTTTTGGAGCCGTTTGTGGCCAATCCTACTGTGTATCAGCTAGACTGCTGTAGGAGGGTTGATTTGCGGTTAATTGCTGACCACTATAATGTTTTTGTCTCCACTGCTCTCTCTAAAAGTGATCTCAAGGCTACTTTGGTATATGGGCTAGTTGAGCAGGGGGTTTTGAGTCTGCCTGATTCAGTGGAATCTCCTGGCACGGTGGCCGGGGCTGTTGCAGCAGTACCTCCTAGTGAAGGCCACGTTGATGCTCCTGGTATTCGGAGTGCTAGTGCACAGGAGAAGCCCACCATGCCTCACTTTGACCCGCTTTCTGCCCAGTCCTCTTTTACAGGCTCTAGGTTAGATGCCAGAATGAAAGTACGTGTGGTCCGTCTCCAGTGGGAGAAGGAGGAGCGTGATAGGGATTTTCAGCTCAGGAGGGAGCTGGAGATCATGAAGTTGGAGGCAGACACTGCTGTCTGGATGCGTCAGCTAGAGCTCCAAGCAGCTGTGGTGGGTGATTCTGCTGTTACACACTCTGGTCCTGCTGCCTCCTTCGACGTGACTATACATATTTCTTTGGTCCCTGTGTTTCGTGAATCAGAAGTGGAAACCTATTTTGGTGCATTTGAGCGCATTGCTGCTGCTCTGCGCTGGCCAGAAGATGTGTGGGCCATACTTGTACAGTGCAAGCTAGTCGGCAAGGCTCAGGAGGCCTGCTCTTCTCTTTCTGTCGAGGACAGTTTGGTGTATGAGAATGTTAAAGGTGCTGTTCTCAGAGCATATGAGCTGGTGCCTGAGGCCTACAGGCAGCGTTTTCGCGGCCTGGAGAAAACTCCTGCCAGAGGTATGTGGACTTCGCGAGGGAGAAGAAAGTCCTCTTTGACAGGTGGTGTAGAGCTTGTAATGCTGACGACATTACCTCAGTGTGTGAGCTGGTGATGTTGGAGGAGTTTAAAAACTGTGTACCGGAGCGTACGGTAGTCTATCTGAACGAGCAGAAAGTAACTACCCTTCAGCAGGGTGCCACTCTGGCAGAGGAATTTGCACTGATACACAAGAGCGGTTTTTTTTCAGCGGGACACTTATCGTAGAGCTCCTGACAATTACGTTCCATGTGCCAGTGTTCCAGTGTTGGATCCCAGGCTAGACAGAGCTTGTTTTTTTTGTCGTGACCCAGGTCATGTGATAGCAGACTGTGCAGCTTGGAAGAGAAAGCAGACAGCGGATGGCAAGCACCCAGAAGGGGTGGGTTTGGTTACAGCAGTGTGTCCTAGTGGACGGGCCACTGTTAACAAAGGGCCTGATGAGTGTTTGAAACCGTTCATCTCTACTGCCTTTGTCTCTCTGTCAGGAAAGGTGGAGGACCAGCGGCAGGTCACGGTGTTGCGAGACAGTAGTGGCTCAGTCATTCATCCTTGCCGGTGCCCTGCCCCTGAGTGCTGAGT